ACCTGGACATAAGCAGACATGCAGTGCCACTGATGCATACATTTAAGTGGTACAAAGCCTCTAAAAGGCTTGAAGCTATAATAAAACCGAACAAGGTGCTGACATGAAGCCAGCCAACCACAAAGCACCACAGCCCTGAAATAGATGACATGTATGTTGCCTATTCCAGTTTCTGAGAGGCAACTGTTAAAATTAGATGAGAAATTACTTGAGAGAAAACTTACTCTTAACCAGATGCTCTTCTTGGACAAAATAAAAGAGATATTCAAATAAAGGTCAGGTTCTTTTTATGATAATCTAAAAAGTAATCTATCAGTCAGCAAAAAAATAATGCTTAAAACTATGGCGTATATGTATAAAACTCACATATTAAACGCAACATGAATACCAGGAGGGTGATTTGCATAATGAGAATGGACAGCCCTTAACAGTACAACACAAGACAGTGATGAAGAGAGAGCTGCCTGCTACAGTACCGTCCAATTAAATGTGCATTTCCTACATGCTTCAAAACAGGTCAAACATATGCAACTGACTATTTTTTTTAAAACTACATGCACTTGTTTTGCATTATGCTGAGCACTTGCAGTATTTGCTCCGAATAGGAATGGAAATATAAAGGTCCTGCTGGCCTGCTGAGGCATTAGTTGGAATCATAACTCTTTCTACTGCCCTTGTGAAGCAGCTCCAACTGGCTCCAAAAAAGCTGCCTCAAAACAATCAATGCTATATCATAGTCCATTCATGTCTGGAAGGCGTCTTTACTGTACATAGAAAGAAGAAATTAAGTGGCACCATAGCCTCCAGCAGTACACAATCAAACCGCACAATGCAAATCGTGATTTGGAGTTTCAGAAGAGCTTGGTGAAACAGCATGGATATTCAAGCAAACATCCTTTATGGGTTGTGGCAGCTTAGCTGTTGAAATTTTGGAGCTGCTGCAGAGGAGATAAGAGCTCTGGAGAAGCACTGCTGGGCATGTGGAGCCTCATGGATTACTGCTACTGCTGGCACAAAAGCCCTCTACTCACTGGGCTTCACTTACTGGTTGAGCTGGTGCAATACTTGAATTTTGATACTTTAGATTTATTGACATTGTCTGGAAAAAAATACCTGTTGTATATATAACACACACACTTGATAAAATGGTTTTAGCCAAGCTAATGCAAATGTTTTTTGTATTATTTTGTGTTTTTTAAATACATTCCCATGTCAGAAAAAAGCAAGACTTTAACAAAAATAAAATATATACAATCCATATGATCTTGTTATTGTAAAACTTTAGGATTCAATAATCATATAGTAAAATCATATATTTTTAGAGCCCTAAATAAATTGAATCTGGATGTATAGGTTTATGATCAAGTCAGTCTAAATTGACATTACAGTCCACATCATGAGGCAATGCATGTGAACGTAGGCTTATGGTCTGGCTTTTTAGCTGATGTGTTGTCTGTGTATGAAAGAATGCATACCTCATACGGTGTGATTTATGCGTTAACGTTTCAGTCAACACTATTTTTTGATGAAAAAAACAGAAAAAAAATTTCTCCTCCAGATGGATTTCCACATTGCCAACATCTACAACTTGTGGATGCTTCGGCTTGCACTAAAGCCCCCAAATAACACCCAGTGTACTTACACAGTTATTTCAAACTTTTAGCAGCAAGAGTTGGGTGGAGCCCAGATCCAAACATCAAAGCCAGAGCAAATTTGTAGTGAAGGGTCAAGTTAAGTTTCCCCTTTCACACTGAGGAGTGGTCTCTGCTGCACACAACAAAGGCAGAAATGTCGCCGCACGGCTCCAAGGAGTCAGGAGGGAGTTCAGGAGGAGCTGGCATATCATCTAAAGAGCTTCCTTAGAGTGAAGGTCAAGTCCACAGCTGGACATGTTTCCATGGCCAGGATCTGTGGGGAGGTGTGTGTGTGTGTGTGTGTTTTCTGTGGGCTCGTGCAGAGCGTTGGCCTGGAGTGGCAGACCGTGGCGACATCACCCACACAGCCAGCAGGAGAGCAACGATAAAACTGATTGACTCCCGGCGGGAACTCTCCAGGGACTCCTAAAAGGAAGTGGCTGTTTCCTGCTGATGTGTGTGTGTGCAAACCCTGTCATAACAAAGCTGCCTCTCACTGCCCACTGTCCTCCAAACCTCATCGCAGCTCCTCAACAGTGAGGAGAGCTGAGCTCATCTAAAGTTCAAAAGCACAACTATGACATGTCGAATTTTACTGGCAGAGCACGGAGCCAGAGGCTATATTAACCCTTGAGGGTTTTTGCCAAAGAATGCCAAGAGTAAACATTTGAATCAGTTCTGAAAGGTTTTGGTTTCAGAAAGGCACATGTTGTGGGTACTGCCCTACTGTTACACATGTGGGTGGGCTACATAGATAGGCCTGGAATTTCAGCAACACAAAATGCCTTACATTTTGCTTGCCAAGTTTACATAACAACCACTAAAATTCTTGTCACAACAGCGAGCGTTTGCATCATTGTGTGTACAGTGTATCGTTTATCTTCTAGAAATAAGAAGAACCTGTTTTAGTTTACCCCTACATGGATTAAATCTAAATCTCTATTTGACCCGCATCTCACACTCAGGTTACCCTCACCCTACTAACATGGTACAAAGCAAATACAACATAACCACATCCCCTTCCTCCTGGTATTTTGAGAGGGTTTATTTATCCCTGGAGAAGAAAATGACCCATTTTCCTGAGTGGTAGCACTTCCTTTACTTTGTAGTGGAGCTACCAGGCACAGAGAAAGTTGAGAGGTATGCAAGAGCTTCATCTACATTCCAAAGTGTCATGCAGCTCAGTAGTACTCACAATCAGCGTGCTGCAAGTTCATCCAATTTATCATTCATAAATCTTCTAATCTAGCAGAGTCTTTCCACAGCCTGTGCTGCTTCACCCACAGATACTGTCTAAAGCAGAGCCAAGTCCTGAGGGCCTCCAGTCGCCCCCTCTTCGCTTCAAACTGTGTTTTGGCTCCAGAAAAGACAACAAAGATGAATCTCATTAGAAACAAGTGCATCCCAAATTGATCGCAGAGCATATTTAAAATGAACTGTGGAAAAGAGTCACTATTTGCTTCAGTTTGTTTTATGAAAAAGACACACATTATTTCATGATACATAGAATGAAAATTAAAACAGAGGAGCATTAATGGTAAAAAAAACCCAACAACAACTACTGTACATATATCAATCTGCATGTTATTTCAGCTGGGAACTCAAAGTAGCTGATTTAACATTGTTCATACTCATGGAAGTGTTAACAAAAAGAACCCACTGAGAGAATGAGATGCTTTTGAGATTTAAATGGTACAAAAACATCAGAGCATTATATTACTGCCACCTACTGGATAAATATGTTACTGCACAATCAGAATGTTTGCTACATTCATGTTATGTCCAGAGGCTGACTACATCGTACAGCTGAATGATGGTTAAATGTTGACAGCATGGGGTATCTACACACACCTCTACACTTCAGATACACACTGGCAGTAAGGACACAGCTGCTGCGTGCACTCAGAGGGACGGTTTGGGTATAATGCAGCCTTTTGTCTTCAGCAGCTCAGTTTGAACACATGTTTTTTCATCCAGCAACAGTGTTTCTCCACAGGAGGAAGATGCGGCTGTTTGTGTGGACTTTGAAAAGGGGAAAACCCAGCGGCTACGTTGTTTTGACAGCTCATTCAAATCAAAGTAGGTGGAAAAACAGACAGAAGCAAAATGTCAACACCATGACACCTACAGGCAAGAATATACCTGCAGTTAGTTTGTGTGTGTTTATTCAACAGAGGATGGGAAACAAAAATGTCCCTTTATTATGAGCTACCTTGATGCCGTCATTCCTTATTTCAGTTGTTTCAGTGACTATGATTTGCCAAGTCAGTGACCAGTGTTCAGGGGTGTTTGAAAGATATTAGGAGAAGGGCTATTATCATACTCAGGCTCTGGCACGCAGGGTGGAAGCTGAGAGCTTACTGATCACGAAACAAGCCCACACTGGCCAGGCATGAGGCCATCACCCTGATAAAAGATATGCACCTACCACTGTTGCCGCCACCCCAGAGCTTATAGCTATCGCATAGCAGCCTATAAGCTGCCACTTATGGAAGTCCTCCTTCATTTATTTGGAATCCTTAAGGTTGATTCCATTAGAAAGGGAGTAGTTGTGCTAGTAGATTAGAAAAATTAAAGTCCCCACAACTCATTAACTGAATCTCTGTACTTCAATTTACCATCTTCATTAAAAAAGAAGGAAAGAAAACCTCTATGAAATCATTAATCCAGGTGGTTTGCTTTCTGTTTGGAGTAGCTAATAAATAATATCCTTGTATGACCTTTGGTTAAACCGATTAGTTGCTCAGCAGATGGTCCAAACCAAGATTTACCCACAATGAGAGACAGTTAGACGTAACAGATTAATCCGCAGCCCCCTCACTTTCAGCCCAGCTCGGCCACAAATAAGCAATATACTGTATGGCAATGCAGCCGGTATTGTGGGAGCAGGCAAAAACCGAGTCTGAGACATGGTAAAGAGGACAGATTCATCCTTACAGTCTTTAAACTGCAAAACACATGGAGAGCAAAAAGAAGTAGATTTAAACTGAAGAGAAAACTCTTAACACTGCCTGTGCATAGAGTGAGAATACTGTGGGAACATGGGAACCGTTAAGGATCAGCTAATCACTGCTGGCTCTTTGTTTGTAATCAGTGGAAATCCTCTTGAGTCCTGCTCAGCGAACGCCGCTGACAATCAGGGGAAACACAGTATGGAAAAGGAGATGAACGCATGTCCGTGCACCTGCACCGTGTCAGTGGCTGTGGGTGCCACGCGGCCTTCTGGTTGGCCTCTGTTGTTCGATCAATTATTTGCTGATGGAGAGCAATCATTTATAATCCAGATTTCATCAACGCATGTAAACAGGGAACGTGCAAGAAGGACAACAGAACCATTGGCCCATCAGTAAACTATTTGTTTTCCATCTACGGCCAGTGGTACCTCTCCATGGTATGCAGCCCTATAACGGCCATAGGGGCCACGTAATGGTAGGCTGCTGAAGCTATGTGCGCAGTCTGGTGGTAGCACTTGATCAAAGCTTCAAATACCACCACTGTGGCCCACACCCTTCCTGAGAAAGGAAACACATGTAAAGATACATGCTTGTTTTGGAATAGCTGGACTCTGACAGGGAATTTTGCTGAATGCTTTGTCTTACGGCCTCGAATCTGACACATGTAACATTAGCAACAACCCCCCCTGGATTCTCTCGTCACGCGGTAACGCACATGGCACAGCGGCACTCCATCATGGGAAAAAGAATCTCATTATTTGCTGTTGATAATTCCTTTCTTGTTTGCATTTTGTGAGGTTTAGCCTCCCTGTTGGATCAGGTTAACACTACAATGGGCTGCACGGGTGCTATAGCTACTAAGACGGATTTAACATTTTTGAGAGGCACAGGGGATTACCTTGCAAAAGTGTGAGTCAAGACAGGAAAAAGGACATAAGAGCTGCAAATAATATAATGATAAATGGAAAAAAGAAGGAATCAGTTCAGCATGGGGTCAGTTAGTGGGGGAGGGCACTGTTGGCCTCAAAAGCCTGAGCAGAGCCTTTAACAGGTGATTAGGTCAGGTCAGGGATTCTGAGCCGTTTATCTGCACAGCTGCGTGAAGCCGTGCATGTTGTTAAAGCCACATCACCCAGCAGAAGTCCTGTCTACATGTCCGCAGAGCACTGTCACTTTGTAGCTCTCCCTGCGAACACATGTGATTAGAAACAGGCCTTCAGGCGCACAGCCGCGCGGCCGCTCTCCCATAAACACCCCACAGCCAGCTTTATTTATCCATCCCTCCAAGAGACACTGTGGTATCGTAAATGGAACACAGGCCTGCCTCCCGATGCTAAGTCCCTGAAAAACAAACTGGGAGCAACAACATAAACCAAAAGAGATGTGTCTCTGTGTGTCCTATGCAAACACAGATTATTCAGGTCACATGATTTCCTCCTTTGCAGGAGGTTCATTTGTTTTCAGGCTTGCATTTTCCTCTCTTTCAGTTTTCTGAATGTAAGTCAATATAATAGTGTGAAGGATTTTTTAAGGGGAATAATCTGTTACTTTCTTGTTGTGGGCAGAGAGGGAACAATGAGATTGTTTAAGCGTTAAACAGGAGCTCAGTGTTAAATGTCACTTTTCTGATTGATAATGTTTTGTGTTTTTTATTTATTTTTATGTACCACAAAAATAAAAAAAAAGGTGATTCTTCATCTTTTATCTTTTCAAAAAGTTTTGCCGTAAGTGGTTTCATTGTGTAGGATTAGAGCTCAGTGGAGTTAAGTGGTTCCTGGAGAGATGTTCCCACAGTTTAACTGTGACATCCCTCAGATTAAACCTGCCACAACCGGCTTAATATCGACGTCCCAAACCCAGAAGTTACAGCAATTGACCGAAGAGGAATAATGCTTCACTTCAACCCATTAAAAATACTTAAACTTTAAACGAATTCTGGAGATGAACATACCTCAAGTGTATTTTGATTCATGGCATTTTTCTAGAATAAAAAAATATATCAAAAGAAAAAAGAAAAATCAGCACATTGAGATCATTTTTCCTTTAGTATGACATGACATGTCCTTTTAGATGCTGCTTTATATAAAAACCAAAAGGTGCACAGCTATTACCCTTTCCGCTGGCCCCGCCCCCGGTTCATTTGCCCCTGCCCCCTCCATCCTTCTATGGCCTACAGTTTGTCATAGAGAGGAATGCCAACTATGCAGGCTGGCTGGTAAAAAGTCATTAACCCTCCTGGTTGTGGTGGCTCCAACACGGGGCACAAAGCCAGGAGACCTAGCCCTGAGAACTGCAGAGTTTAGACCCAGTTTAATTAAAATGACAGCAGGCTCTGTGGGAAAGAGGGACCAGAGCAGTAAGGACTAACCTCAGCATTTCTGTTTGGCAATTTCACCCACCTCTGCATTTGGTATTTTAGGTTAATTCAAATATGTGTTTGACACTTTCAGGGAAATCCCCGATGAATTACAGTACCATCATAAAAGACTTTCACTTTCATCTTCTGAGTCTGATAGTTTAGTGCAGAAGAGCAGGAAGGTTGAGTAGCTCCAAACAAGCCTCCATAAAGAAAGTCCTCAACATGGAAACAAAGACAAACTTTCCACTCCAGAAATAAAAAAATATACATATTATCTCCTCTGACTCAGCCGGCTCTTGAGCTTCTGAAACACATTTAAACTTAATTTACAGTAGATCTGATTCACAGTCCAGAAAATGGCTGAATACATGTTAATCCATCAGTCTGATACAGCACATCTGACAGCAGCTGATCCTGTTGTGATCCACATTGCCAATGTGAGGGAGGTCAGTTACCATGGTGAGGCAATGGAGGGGCCAGATGACAGATTTGACGTTTAAACCAGATTATAGTCCTGAGATTGGTACGTTTGCTCGAAACTAAAGCAGCGCCAGTCACACAGAAGAATGAACGGTATGAAAAGGTGCCAAAGGAAGCAAACTATTGACTTTGCTTGCAATTATATTTAATGCCCTGAATTTCCCATTCTGGATGAAAGGGCAGTGTATCATTATAGTGTATCAAGTGTCAATGTGAAAACAGTTTAAACTTCCTAAAAAGTGTATTGTTTTCTTATCAGACCAGTAATTTAACAGTTTTGGTTAAGTTTCATGCAACTTTCTTCCAAAGAAAAAAAGGAAAAGACATTAAAATACAGCTCAGCAACAAAAAACAAAACAACAGACAGTTTGTTTCTAACAAAATGTCAAGTGAATTTGATGCATTTATTCAAGAGCTGCAAAACAGAGACTGCATCTAACAAACTGATGTGTGGTGTCATCAGAAAGCAGCAACACATAAATGTCACTGAAAAGCACTACACAGAGTAGAGATCCCTAACCTGAAAGAAACCTTAGGCAAACCTTTTACGTACAGAAAGAAGTTTTTCAGAAATCACAGATCACTGTGTTGTGATTACTTCCTTATGTCGGGGGGGTCTTCGTAGGTAAGTTCATTGCTTGCTGCATCCAGTCATACTGGAAAAAAGCTTCTCCCAGTACCTGTCTTCTTATATGAGGAAAAAAACATCTGAAATTGGTGCAACAACTCCTTCCCTAAATAAGGACGTGTTTTTTTTCTCTGCACAGTTCACTCATAAAAAGTTGTCAGCACTACCAGGGAACAACAGAAAAAGGGCCATGGAAGGAAATGTATGTCTCTTGAACAAGAATCCACATTTTGCCTTTGAGATGCTCAGTCTGAGACAAGCACACAAACTAAACTTTCTCAGTGCTGGAGCTAAAGCAACTGCTCGCTTGGCTAAAAATATCACATTTTCCTTCCTAGTACCCATTCTAAGAGAGCAAACCTATCCGTTAAACACAATTAGCAAGGCTTTACAAAATGTCCTTCATTGGTTGACAGATAAGGAAAGGCTCTGGCACTTTGCTCTCTGCAGCATGACCTGAATTGCTGTCACGGTAACAACCATGTCCCCACATTAGTGCTAACACGCAGTGAGGGATGAGAGGGAAGCACACACTCACACACACGGCCCGCAAACAAAATGTGCTCGACATAAGACTGCTGCCTTTTTTCTCATCAAACATGCAAGTGACAGTCTGGAGTCGGTGCTTTTCAGGGCTTAATCAGATGGGTTTAATCTGTTGGCGGAGCAGAGTTACAATTTTGCCCCGGGGACTTTAGGCTTAACTAGCTTCTCATCTTGGCAAACACTTCGACAGGCCTCTGACTAAACTAATGCATCAATGGTGCTAGGCATAGCAGTATCCACCTACACCAAATATATTCCCCTCATTCACGTACTCTTGTGTGGGCTTGTTCATGCAAAGAGCTGTTTGTAATGGTGCCATTCATATGACTGCTAGGATCAGCAACAGGCTAATGCTTGTACTCCCTCGCAGTATTATGATGGAGGAGAGGCTAAATGACACTGCCAACCATGAGACAGTACAACAAACTATGCCATAAAAATGAAAGTCTATTTGCTGGCAACACACAGTGACAGTTGATGCAACAGCTTTGAGGTCAGCAACTGGATTAAGAAAGTGCTTAATAGCGGTGAAAGCAGGACTAAAGTTAGGACAAATACCTGTTTTCAGGTGCATTAGAGACTGCAATGATACAAAGCAGTTGTTTGTTTGACATGGAGACTGCAGTCGTTGTCCCACTCATTCAAATCTAGTTCCTTATTAGATCAGAGATGACAATGCCAGATTTGATCAGTTTACACAACGAGACAAACTGGATTAACCGCATAATAATCAGAGGAAACATCAGAACCTAAGGAGTTGTGACTCAGCATGTCTTCACCAGCTACATTAAGGTGTGTGTCCTGCTGACTCAAAAATAGCAACCTTAATAGCCTGGAGGATGGAAGGGAAGTACTGTTGGTGATTATGTGCCGCAATCATGACTCCGTGGCAGGATGTGGGTTTGTTCATGGAGAGGTGAGGAGCAGTTTGATTCAGACAGTGCTGTGAATGGATAAAAGATCGGAACTACTCAAAATGTTTAAAGCTTCCACAAGAGTGACCACCCAGCAGCTGTGCTCTTCCAAGTTATTCTATGGGTGTATAAGAGAGGGTGAATCTTAAACAAACTGTTGGAGTCTCTAAAGGAGCATTTCAGTCGTCCACCGCAGCTCAGCTGTGGACCACGACCGGGAAAGAAAAAGAAAAACAGCAGCAGATCAGTGCCTAATGTAGGATGAATACTGGGGGTGGCTATAAGAGGCAAGTAAAGTCCTGTTGAGTGAGTCCCCCTCCACTATGTTCTGAGCAGATCCCAGAGAGCTGCCATGTACTTGCTAACAGGAAAACACCCACCGGCCAGACTCCTCACCAGACCTTCTCTGTTATGGTAACCGCTTCTGTACTCCAAAAAACGGCTCTGCTCTATCAGGCAGAACAATTACAGACACGGTGGGCGCTTTAACACTGAGCCCTGCCCAAAACTCATGTTTGGCCCAAATACAGACACAGGAAACTTGCTTGATCAAGGAAAAGAAAGGCCTCTGGTCTCCCACATAAGATGAAGGACGGGAAGTCAGAGGCACTTCCTGTTCTGGCAGAAGTAAATGATTTAGGTGCTGCAGCTTATGGTGACAACAGTTTTTCTGCTAATGAATGGATATGAGAGCAGTTTAATGATTACACAGCACATAAATGTTGAAAGGCAGTTAAATGTTTTCTTACTACACAGTGAGCCAAGAAATTGTTAAATAATCCTACGACGCGACTACAGATCATATCTTGGGATTCATTTCACGCACAGAGAAAATATTTAACACTTATTTTGACATGTGGTTAAATTACACCCAATCCATGTCCATGAGATTGAATCAGTCTTCATTTACCCTGGAACAGAATCTGTCTGTCTGGCCATTGGATCATTTGAGTTGGCTTTGCTACTGTAGTATTTATGTGGAATAACCAGGGTCACTCCAGGTTGGATGAAGGAAATCCTTTCAATTTTTACTGTGAGCTTTACATTATCTCCACATTCATGTGATAAGTTGAAGAATTCTGATATTACCCACTCTAAATGAAGAGACTGGAGGGGAACATTTGGTTTGGATCATAACAAATGCCAGGAAGGCAGACAGATTGTAAAGTTGATGAATATATTTATCATCTCACTTTACCTTAAGGTTTTATAAGCATTACATAAATCCTTGCTTGAAAACTAAATCTAATTGTTTATCAAAATACCTATTAATTCTTAGTCTGTTTGTTCATCAACTAACTATTTTGTACCAAAAGGTATGACGGTGTGATACTTTCAGACATGCCTCATTCAACCTAAAGAAGTGTCTTAATAGGTGGATTGGTTACAAAAGCATGCTCATGTATTATTAAGCTATCTGCTCTCCGGTCTCAACCCCCAACCTGGGCTTTGTTTTAGCTGAGTACCTTTTACCATCAGAGCCACATTAGAGCCACAAGGGCAGTTTAAAGCACAGACACACACGCTTTATAGAGACTGGCAGGCAGTCCAGGTAATAAACACGGAGGTCAAGCTGCTTAGATCTAACACACAGCTGTAACCTTCTAACAGCTCAGTCATTCAGCCTATAGTGTGCACCCTCACTTAGCTCAAACACAGAGAACACCAGAGAATGACATTTCCTTCAAAAACATTGATTAGGCTAAATCACAAAGTACAATGAATCTTAACCGTAAACCTTTTTGCCAATCACTCCTTAGAGAATGTGATTCTACTAAACTAATTTTTGGTGAATGACACAACTAACACCACAACAGAGCAACAACTAGTTTTAAAAACTAGTTTTACAAAGATACACCCCCACCTGAGGCATCTCAGCAGGAAAAAGTAACATTCTTTAAGAAACAAAAGCAGGAGCTGACAACCAACAAAGCTGAACCAAGATAAGAATTCCCCCATGCTTCAAGCAGGAGGGGAGGCAACTGTTTGTGCCCATATACAGAAGATGTATATACAGTAGATGTTACCCAGCATCTTCCACCCATCCCAGAATAAACATGGCGATGTTTAACTGAACCCAATGACATACAAAGTATTTTGTCAAAGCTCAATTACACAGTGCCTCTTCCATTACAACATAAATAACAATGCTCAATCCTTCATGCCTAGCAACTAGACATGAAGGTGTATGATAACGATCCGCGTTCTTGGTGTTATGCAGCAGCATGGATGATTGCCACAAGGCCTCCTCGGGCTGCAGAGCATGTAGGTTGTGCATGTACAGCAACTAATGCCATCACTCCTATCTAATGACACCCATCTGGAGCAGAGCTCCCTCGGGTCAGGCACATAGCAGGAACATTGACCATATGGGTGTATCACCATTAGGTGACAGGCAGTTAGGACTATTGATTATAGTTACACAACTGCCCCCCAGCTGCTTCACACACTGTACACACTAAACATTTCCAACTGCCATTGATTTGTTATATACCCGACAGCCGATAGCTTAATGACATTAACGCTTGAAAATGCCCATCAAGATCATTTTGTACACCCAACACATGTTTGAAATTTTTCAATTTTTCTATCTAAAAGACTAATTCAGCCCCCCCCCCCCTCCCGGCATGCCCAAAGTGTGAAGAAAGACAACGATGGCTTAGCTGAGGGCATGGCCTTTTACAAGTGTCTCTGCACTCCACTGCAGCATTAAACAAAGAGGCTCTGACAAGTGTTGTGCCTTCACCAAAATCCACAAACTGTAAGAAGAAGAAATTTGACTGCAGAGCTGATTTGCGACCGCTGGACATGCGAATGCAATTCTGTCTGTCATAATCCAAAATTTAGCTCTGTCTTTTCAGCGTTCACATGGACAACATCCATGTTTCAAGTAAGAAACATAAATAATTGTCTGCACCAGAACACGGGACAGCAACCACAATCTCCCCTTTATGTTCCTGGAACAGCTCCCTCTTTTCCCGCTGTGGTATTTACATGTTTCATGGAGGAATTAATTACAAGCTGCGTGGACAGCAGTCTTGTGTGGAGTCACATTCTTATTCCCACTGAAAGGCTTCAGCAAACACTTGAACTCCACGACCAAGTCACAGACTAAACACAACAGCACACATATCCATGGACTGGGCCTAAGGAGCTATCTAATTGCATAACTTTCCACCAAATTCGTTGGAGTTGTTAAGTTTCCTTTTTTATCACACTGAATACGTGAGGTGGCTTTAAATGCGTGTCTTGAGTCATTCTACACCGGGCACAGAACTCCTGCATGTCCACTCACACTAGTGCAAAACAGCCTACAGCGTTTCTACAAGTTACTTCAGTCCTCCAGAGGCATGATGATTTCCCAACATGCATTCTTTTATCCACTTCTGTTCTCCTCCCTCAGGCTTTTCTGGCAGCATACCAGAGAGGGAATGAATAAATAATACGAAGGTGTGGTTGGATGTCTGGGATCCTGACTCAGGATTCCATTTCCCTGACAGAGAACCTGGACGGTGTCCGTTTCAGTTGCCTAGCAACTTTTTCCAGGAAAGCTGGAACAATCAAACAGAAAGAGCAACAAATACCCTATACACTTGGGCACCACACACGGGTCCACCTCTTTCCCCCCCAGCGAGATATGTGGAAAACTGATACGGAGGAGGAGGTGTACAGCAGGTTCTCATCACCCAGATGTTGCTAACCAGAGTAAACGGCCGAGCTCTGCAATGTGTCACAGTCTCTGGACACAACATATTTGTCTGAGGCTTGAAACCGATGCCTCAGGTTTCCCTTTGTAAGGAGGTATTATGTCATCTCACTACATCCCCGTGAAAGTGATGCCCTCACTGTCACAGCAAACAACTTAAAGCATGCACTGATTCCCTCAGAAATAAAGTAAATTCAATCTGATAGTGAAAATGTTTTTTTAAAACACCATTTTGACATGACACATGATCATAACAACACGTGTCATGTCAAAACGTTGAAAAGGGTCTATTTTCATCCTTCATCGTTCAAATCTAAATCTTTCTCTTTCATCCACTTTCATCAAGTTGGGGCTACTCGTTCCATTAAACGACCCTCGGGTCCCACCTGCTCCCACAGGTGGATAAGAATGAAAGTGCAGCACTCTCCAACGTTCTCGATCAAGTAACACTCTCTGGCCCTCTCACACGCTTACAGGTCAGGGTCAGCCACTCGATTTCCCCCCTGACAGTTGCCTATTTGTTCCCACCCAGCTGATCCAAAGTCAGCTGTTCTCCAGCCGGAACGGTGCGTAAAATAACAGATTCCCCATTATTGCGGTTTTAAATACGATACAACGATGAGCGTGGGAGAGAGGGGGGGGATTAAGGTGTGTACTTACGACCAATACTGACGTCCTCACCACCTCGGACACACTCTGCCTGAGTTCAGCCGCTGTCCCAGGTTTACCCAGACTCCGCGTAAATTTCCTGGTCTCGGGGTGCGCCGGAGTGGCCATCATTACGCACCCCAGTGCTTCAACTAAACGTCCAATCCGCGTGTTAAGTCATCGACGTCCAGAAGGAATCCGCGTCGATCCCCGCTAGCACACACCACGAGTTGGAAGTTGGAACATGCTGTTGTGGTCCGGCCGCTTCTCTCCCGCCCCTCGTCAGAGTTTGAAAACTCAGCGTGCGCTACATTACTCCGCAGCTCATCCTTCCTCCATGAGGACGCATTGTTGGTACAACAAACTATCCTTTTCGATAGTGTTTCATTGGCCTGCGTGCGCCAGACAGGAGGCGTATAATCTGCTCTGTACTCCGCCCCTGACCGGTGTCGTTAGGCCTGCCCACTGCTGGCCGCCGGAGTCACTGCTGGGCCTGGACTCTGGACTCTGGACTCTGGGCTGCAGGCAGCTGAGGGCTCCAGCACGAATGACCAAATCAGTGTTTTCCCATCACAACCAAAATCACAACTGTGGAGCGTCACGATCTGTGTGCTCCCTGGCATCCATCTGACCCCTCAGAAACAATGAACATCTATATTAGACTATTTTCTGTGGCAGCGCATTTCCCCACCTACACCTACTGTATTAAAAACCTGGAGTCCTTTAGCTTCTCTTCACATAATGTATAATGAAATGATTACACCTTCTTCCTCACTAGATTTATCTGACAGAATGACCTTAAAAATATTAGATATTAGTTTTTTTTGTATTGATTTGCTGATCACATCTCATTTGGATTGGCAGTGTTCGACCCACAAAAGCCACAGACAATGCATGTGATTATCTCATGATGTTACTCATGACATTAAATCATTGTAAAAAATAAAATAGAATAAAAACTCCAAACAATTACTGTAACCTCAATACTTTCAGCAATATCTTTGAGTCTTCTGATGTATACAAGATTTCTTCAAGCGGAGCTTCAACTTTTTCAACTGAACAGTTCTGAGCTGTTTTGGTACATTTCAGCCACAAATAAATGATCCCAACTCTTTCTCCACACTGCTCTGTAATTAGCTATATGGACTACACATTTACGCCCTAACACAGATCCTTTCACGTTCATAGACAGATAGTTACTTTAATAAAGGGGGACCTTATGGCTTACAGCTTTAAAAACGCTCCCAAAATGTACAGGGAGTAAAATTTGAGCTCTTAAATAAAAAGGTAGGCAGTGCTGGCTGCTTGGTGACTAGATAGGCATCTGGACTTAGTTTTCAATACTCAAATAAAAAACAAACAAATTCTAAAATAAAAAATATAAGACCCCCAAAAGATTTGTTAGAAAATTTTAATTACATTTTTAAGATCAAATATTGAGGCCTAAGTCCCTCATTCTTGATCAGTGATGCCATCTATGGGTGACTTGCAGAAATGTACCAAAAATCACTTATGCCTCTTTTGGTTCAAGAAAAACACAAGTCCCAAAAGTCTGAGTTTGTGTAAGTTCTTTTTATTGCTTTCACTTCCAAAGAGCTCTCTGCTGTCTGGAAAAACACTGCAATTCCATGCAGAACTGAGGTTTTCCATCTCATAATACTTCACTGCAAAACCCTGTCAAATGCATATTTCCATTCATTCAGACCCATAAAAGGATCCATTTGCGGGAGGCAGCCTAGTTCAGGGAGGGTAACAACGCTCGGAACTGAAAGTTTCTATTTCGTATCACACACAATCTTTAAAGCTTTCACTTACACTTTCCTTCATAATGCATTGATTATGAACAAATCACATTTTCTCACACAGCTCAACATGAAGTCAGAGTTTTGTTTAGTTTTTCTGAGAAAACAACCTCTGTAAGTGTTCATGGAACAAAGATCTGCAAACAGGAGATTTTTTACTTGAGACGGTGTTAGTGGTGGTGGCAGCTACCCCTGGTGATAAAATCATTTAATACTTACTTCTCCTTAAAAAGAACACATTGTGCTGGGCCAAGTGTGAGCAGAGTGTGTCATGTTAAAGGGTGGCTTGTTTTACTTTGTGTGATATAAAATCTTATGGTACACCAGAGATGAGCCCATTTTCCCATTATAACAAATTTGCCTTAAAAAGTCCAGGTCATTGATAAAAACCGATTTGGCACTGTAGTTGCAGGACATTTTCAAAGCAGCCGTTTTCAGTCAAATGAACAAGTACACAAAAAGTTCATGACAATGTCGTGAAAGTTTAACCATCTAAGAAAGAATGCCGAAGATCTATACATCAACGTGATCCCTCTAAAAAAAAAAAAAAACTAATGACAAACCAGAAAGATAGGAAGTGGTTCAGACCATTAGAAAAGAGTATAAAATGACATCCTTAAAAAGAGGTTTCAGAGTTGAGAGTAAAAATGCAGTCTCTGATGCAGTCTAAACCAGCGGACATGTCACCATTAAAGCATTTTAAAAAGCACCAAATGTGCATGGACACATGTACAAATGTCCCAGTAATGCGTAGAAAAGAAAAGGAGGGAGCTGGGGTGACTGGAGGACGCCACCTGGAGGAGACGGCATGTGGAGAACAAGGTGTGCCAACTCAGTGATGGTGGGGCTCTTTATTGTTAAGGACGCGGGAGTAACTTGATGGGGCCGTAGCACTGCGGATTACCTCCATCCATCTGCGGGAAGAAAGAATCTTTTCAACTCCATGTGAATCAACATCTCGGACACTAAATCATTTGTAGGAAACGTTTTAAAACTATCTGCTGGATGACGAGGACTCTGTACCTCTCAAAGGTGTATTCACTCTCTGATCGGAAATAGTAGATGTGGGACTTGAAATGCAGTTTGAAGACGTAGTCCTTGTGGATATTTTCATTCTCGTCGGGGGTGGTGACCGAGTAACCCAGTAATGGAAGACTGGCCAAAGGATAATCATCCTGAGGAAATATTTGAAAAGACATTAAAAAAAATCACACCATCCATTTTCTCTATTGTGTAAAAAAGGAAGGAAACATGGTCTGTCACGAGGATGGAATGGGGCAAACAGCTTTGAACAAGGCTGAATGTAAAGAAAATAAGAGGATCAGGCTAAAATGTAAGAAAACAAAACATTAGGTCAGCCTATGCCTGACGTTATTCTCTCTGGCAATCCGTTTTCTGTTTCCTTAGTCAGTGCTTTTTAAGATAATAACTTCTGGTTTGTATTCGAAAGTTTTTTTTTTCTAAAATACTTTATTGTTTTCAACTGAATCTGACTTAAACTGAGGCACATTTACAGACGTGTACGATGCTTCTGTTCCTGTGAATTCACTTTTGTCTGTGATTTGATATATATTCAGTCCATACATAGAGCTATTTTACAGGTTTTAAATTAAAAATTTACATAATCCCATAAATCTTTAAACTTTTATAGAGCTCAAAGATTGCACAAATCTAGCGACAAAACATTTTGTGTGCCAGGAAATGAATACAAACCTGCATGAGAAAGCGTGTAAATGTCAAACATGGCACACAGATTTGATATTCTGCACTAAGATGTGATGCTCAGAAGAGGGAAAATAAACAGCAGTGCTTGTGTTTGCTCTTCACCTGGTGAGACTTGTAGAAAAACAGGCTGAAATTGGTGAAGACCACCCAAAGCTTCTGCCAGCCGTTGCTGTTCTTGAACTTCCTCAGCAAGTTTCCAGAGAGCTGGTTCTAGAAAAACAGAAAGCAAGACGTTTGATTCTCAAATCACCCAACTACTCTCAGAAATGTTATTTGTAATGTCACTCTGTCCTACCAAATAGGCAGATAAACTTCCTATAATTAGCACTGTACCTGTCAAATTCTATAAACTTGTAGTTCCCAACCTCCTTTTTACTTCTAACAATGACTTTAATGCAAGCATCCTCATGCATTACGGTTCTAACTTAAAGTGAGAGCTTCAATTAAAGGACTGTTTCACTTTTTGCAAAATGTTCAGACTTGTATAAACACTGAAGTAATCTGTTAATTTAGAAGCCATTGTGATTATTTATCTATAATACACAACTTTCCACAATGACAAAATGGAATCAGGTTTTTGGAGAATTTGAGCATTTTTGTTGCCACGGTGCACAGCATCAGGTGCAGACTCCTGGTCTTTGTCATTGTGGAGAATTATGTGTATATTATTTAGGAAAAAGAGCAATTGCTGAAATTACTAAACAGTAGCCTAAAATAAAGCAGAGTATGGAGAAGCTGAATTGGCCTTAAAGCCTTCTGTCTGCACCTAAAACACACACACACAGGGCCTCTCCTGTCTGCCTGGCTCCTTTACCTCTAGACTCCTGCAGGATTCACTAAAGGAGAGACTCTGAATTCGGTACCAGCAGATAACAGACAGAGGCACTGGTCCCTGGCCACTCGCGGGCCCCACCTTGGGGGCCTTACTGTCACTGACTGGACTAGGGTCCTCTATCATGGAGGAACGGACAGACGTATGGGGGAAAGAGAGAAAAAGAGAAACAGACAGGGAGGGACAGAAACACAGAAACTGAGTTGGTGAAACACAGGCATGCAGTGGCAGGGGTTAACAAGGAGGCCGACAGTGTGTCCTGGCAAGGCTGTGAAGAGGACAAAGTTACAGCTACAGAGGAAGAGCACAGCTAGAGCAGGACGTGGCTGGGTAGTGGGGAGGCTACCACGCAGACAGGACTCGTTCTGTTAATGTGAGACAAGGACTTTTAGCACACCGCTTTCTCTATTTCTAAAGCTGCTCAGAGACCTCGGGCGCCAAAGGGGAGAAAAGGACTGATACACAAAGGATAACAGCAGTTCTGAGTTTAGATCATGACATCAGGCTGGGAACTGCCTGCTAGAGCGTGGAAAAGGTTGAAACAGTAACCTCTATATGTACTGATACTGAACAGCTTTTACCACTGGTGAAAAGGCAAAAAAAGTGGAAGTAAAATTTGAAATGCAAATTTTCCCTTTATCCGTGGGAAAACAAATTGAATACAATTGCTCGATATTTATACATATATATATATGTGTCTGTAAATAAAACTGTTAAATACAATGTTTTCTCTCAAACTCAACGCATTGTGTTGAGAAGTCACTCTTTCTAACGATTTACTATGTATAACAATATCAATTCACTTGGAGCTTTTAAATGCCACTGTACCAAATGGTCGATTACAAGATGCAGTGTAGCACAGGAGGGCACTGTTTCAACCGAGATACCAAAGACAATCCAGCACAGACTCAGAAACGGAGAGAAAAAAGCAGGGCAGGAGGTGGGGGCGGGTCTAGGTTTGGCTGATACCTCCACGGCTATGCTAAAGTCCACCATGGACACACTGGTGTTCCTGTGCCAGCACACATGCACCATGGTGTTACCACGGTGAGGAGCGGGCTTCTCCGGCGAGGTGTGGGAAGCTGTCATGTCGTCCTCGGACTCTGCCTCCACCGAGGAGTCCTCCCGGAATTCTGGGAAAGTCATGAGGTTGTTACTGCTAGACAATGAGCAGGGTGGTGAGGGGAGAGAGGCGCTATAACACAGACAGTGTCAGAACATTGACAAATCAACATCTATCTTGGACGTCCGCTGTAAAGGTTTTTACTTACGCTCTCTTTTCTTTTCCTGTTTTTTTTTTCACAGTAACTGAACAGTAATTGTTTGCAAGTCACAACAAACTGGTCAGTGTTTAACACTGACCTGTAAGTTTATGCTGCGACTTACTGTTGTCTGTCAGGTTGCTGGTCAACACGTCGGATGACGGCCCATTGCTGGTTGTTGCCATCTCTATCGCCATCTTGATGTCCTCCATCCACTTCTTCATTTCGGTTGCAGAACTAAAACACAAATGGATAAAGTGCTGAGTGAAGTCCCAGCAGGCGGGCCTGGTGGTTAGAAATAGTCCTGCTGGTAAGAATAGCACAGGTCTGATCCGGTTTGTCTGGCTGTCCTGCCAATTTTTCCTTTAAACAACAGCAAGCCCCTGTGCCATCTGCTCAGCCATGCAAACTAGTTACTTAGAAGGCAAAAAGAGGGGGAGCAGAGAGTCATGCAACATTTTAGAAAACATGCACACGCACACAAAGATATTTGTGGCAGATTTCAAATGACAATTAATTCACACTTAATGTAGGAGGAATAAGGAACAACAAGGTTCAACAACAATCTTCAGTATATCAAAGTTTAGATTTAATCAGCTGATATTCAAACATGATATTAATATTTTGTTATTTTTATCTAACAATTATTACAGTGAAGTGGCACATTGCCACGCCCCTGATGGCAATCTATATTATTGATGGAGACCAAGAAACTTAGTTTTTTCCTGCCCACTGTCCTTTCATGAAGGAACTCCCATTACTGGTCTACAGAGTAATTTAAGCCTATAGCCATTTCCACTTCTGCCCTGGTCCAAGACCGAGTTAATATGTGTATTTCAAACAACAGCTGGGCTTCCATCCATGGTTTTTAAAGTAGCCAATAAAAACAGCTGACTTTAACATAAAATGTCAAAGTCCAAAGAAAAGCTTTCATAGCTGCTTCAAATAGGCTTTTCCTATTTTGTTTTCTGATTTCCATCAGGGTGGATGAAAAAGCCAAGATTGGGTCATTCCTGATGTGGTCTACTGATGACATCAGCTGTGAAATTGGACAGCGCAAAAAACCCATTAATAGTCAGTTGAATCAACAAAATGTTGCTCAGTTTCTGTAAGGATGAGGGCCACTAATTATTGATGAGCAAGAGCCAGTTTTGTGAGAACTTTAGCAGGGCAGAGGGAATAAGGAGAGGCATCAGAGGAGTTGGTGCACTCAACCAGAGTTGGTTATTCGTGCTCTGACTGGCAGGACAATGAAAAGAAAAAAACAGCTTGTAATTAGCCAGCAGATTACCAGCTACTGCCATCACCCTGAGAGCAACTGAAACATAACTGCGGCTCAAAACATTTTCCCTCACTATTGCTTAAGAGAGGAATCTCCAAAAGAGCATGCGATCTGAACACATAAACAAATGTGTCGAGTTTGCTTTGAACAAATATAAATCACATCTTAGTGTAGCTACAAAAGGCAAAGCCCCAAGGGAAGTATATATAAAGTGACTCTTCCCTTAAAGCTACAGCTGCTGTGAGCTCTCTGCAGCCATAAGTTAGCACTTTAATGCACCATTACTCAAAAGAACACGGTCACTTTAGTCGGTTCACAGCACCCGGAGTCTGCCGACAGCCGCTGGTCATACCTTGATGCCACCACCACCGACTGTCCCTGCCCAACCAGAGTGAAGGCGTGAGGCACGCCCCACTCATCCTCACTCTCTCTGATCTGGAAGAAGAACACAGAGACACGGAAAAGACATTAAAAAGCGGCAAAATCTGGGACAGCAAGGACAAAAATAGATGGAGTGGGAGGGAAGGAGGGGGTGTGGATAAAAAGGAAATAAGCGAGAGATACGTGTAGTGTGGATGTCCTGAAAGTCGATGCTTGACACTGTGTGTGTGTGTGTGTGTGTTTGTGTGTGTGTTTTAGGGTCACATGTTAAAAATGGTACAGTTCAGCTGTCCAATGCGACTCATTTAATGATAAATTGGTGACAGCTGCACAGAACTTACTGTCATGCCACGGAGCGGCAGCTGCCCGTGCACTTTGAACTGATTGGTTGGCGTCATCCCTCGACTCGTGTACAAAATGACGTCATTAAACTGTTGAGGCAAAGAGAGGAAGCAAATTAAACTCCAAATGGTATTTTTTCTCATAACAGCTGGTAAATCATAAGCTCAAACAAAAGCATGTTGATAGATTTAAAGCTAACTACTCTTCCTTCAATGCTTTCCAATTCCTTTTTCTTACTGCCACGTGTACAATACACAAGCAGCTGAGCCAGAGGCATGTTTAAAATACTAAACTGTGAAAGGTAAAAGGCAAGAGCCGCTTTCTGAGCAGCTGCACCTAATCTTTCAACATCATCTGCCCACTGCAAGCTGCAAAAGATAAAAGCACTGTTGATTTTAAGGATGACTTCACGCATCTTAATAATCAGATTAGCTATATGAACTTAAGAAAGTGGAGTGTTACCAGGAAAAACATTCGTTGCTGTAGGCCTTTTCCAGACAGTTTACTGAGACAGCCTAACCTGATGAACTCCTGAGGAAGAAATGAAAAAATATTATATCCTTGTTATGGAATGTCATGAAAAAGAAGAGGATAAAAAAACAGACATAGCGTCCAAATCTTTTCCCCTTTTCGCTTTACACTCACCCGACCGGGAACAACAAGATTGTCAATGCCAAGCAAATCCTTCTTCAGCTCCAGGAGCTTCTGGAGGTTCTCCATCTTGATTAGGCTTCCCTGGAGTTGGTCCACCACCTCAGACACATCCGCCAGGGCCGCTGCAAAGCAAGCACAATTGAAAGATTATGTTGACATAGTTTCTAATCGAAATTTAAATGTCCTGAACTCTGGCCAGGGGGTCCCACCTCTGCAGTCTCTAAAGTCCACATGAGTAGCTGGGTAGTGTTTGCACAGGCGCTCCAGGATCTGCTTGTAGTGAATGAGGCGGTGCAGAGGCCGTAGGATGTAGACGTTCAGGGGGATGTAGCAGACCTTTTGCAGCTCAAAGTCCCGGCACAGAACCTCCAGCCTGCGGGAAGCCTTGCAGGCCTTTTCCAACTCCAGCAGGACTTCAGACTGCTTGTTCAGGTTTGCTGTCAGAGGCTAAAAGCAGAGGTGTTAATGCATTGCTGCTTTTAAGACGTTTGCCTCATTGACACAAGCTCACAAGCACCTTTAGGGCTTGAAGGTTCTTCAGCATGACATCTCCAATGCGTTGGTAGTCTCCTTTAATATGGGCATTGGACCGTCCTTCCCTGAAACAAACGAAATACCAAAAGATAAAAAACTGTTTGGTTCCTTTAAATCAAATCTTTAAGTGCAACATATTATGCATCATTACCTTATCACTACAAATATGGACAGTGAAATAATCAATAAGTAGCGTAAAAGCACCTTTTTTTCTCTTTGATTATTTAGATGAGTTTTATTGTACAATACAAAAGTTGAGCTCCAGTTGAAAAAAGTTCTTACAACTTTCATAAAGAGATCCACCAGCAGGTGTCTCCCTTGAGCATGGCAGTCCATGTACAGTTTTGAGCTGCCAGAAATGAACTTCTCCTCAGAATATTAACTGATTTGATATAACCTTTCTGCAAAAGAGGTAAAGAAAGGTAGCTCCCTTTGTAAAGAACAAAAAACGTTCCTTTCTATCTAAGCAACAGACTGATTTTCTAATCATGATCACAACATCTAGGGCAATATTTGAATATTCAAAGCGGAGAAAGACACACATGTAGGGCTGGAAATTTTGCATAAACATCTGAATATGGTTATTTCCAGAGGGGTAAAGTACAGCTCTGATCTGGAGTTCTAACGACTGTGACAATACCACAGAGCTGAACTAATATACAACCATCTGCAGTAAGTGGCTGTAAATTGTAACAGCTTGACGGGGTTATGCCTCAGTGTCTTCTGTCTGTCTGTGTGCGTCAGATAAAGCACAACATCATTAAAGGAGATCAGGCAGCAGACACCCAGAGGCAGGAAAAGGCCAGTTGTGGCGTTGCCATAGAGATGGAAGCTCCTCAGGTCACCTAAAGGGATTGGGTCGCCCTCTCAGGCTGCATGCCAATACAAGTCATTAAAAAATCTGTGCAGAAGTTGTGATAAATTGGAGCCAAACCAAGGCCACGTATCACTGGGCTTGTTCTCAACCCTGCAGGGAATGCGTTGAACGCAGGCTGGAAGTGAAATGAGCCTCACCACAGAGCCAGCCTCTGCTCCACCTCCCTGAGAAAGCCTGTGTGGAACTTATGCAGAGGCTCGAAGGTGGAGAGGATGACGTTCTTTAGGCCGTCTGGTGTCGCCTCATCTTGGCCCACAGCGCTCTGGAAAGACTGGGGGACACAAGTGGGAAAGCTATAAAAACCTGGTCAATTAACATTGACAGGCTTATTGTGTTATCACAACAAATGCATTCATGTCCTAATCTATTCAGACCTGTGGCAGTCTATCAGAGCTCAATCCTGAAGTAAAACGTGAAAAAATAAAATCCATTTTCAATTTCCCTGCTCGGTGCAGGTGAAGAAACAATGTCACTAATATTGGATGCACCAATTATAAGAAGCAAAGTAAAGCAATTATATAAGTTGAAACTAATTTCTCTTGATAAAAATCAAGAGATATTAGTAGTTTTCTGGGAGGAAAAGGTTTCATGTCTCTGACTTAGTAGGAGTGAGGCACAGGTTGGGTAGAATAGAAGAGTTTGTGGTTTCTTCTTAGAAGGGTATTTGGTAAAAAGTTCTCTTTTCTCCCAGAAACAGTCTAACCTACTGAAGCTCTGAATGCTTCCAGAATCACTTTATCTGTATTTCGGCTGTAAGGTTCAGGCTTTGTGATGACTTGTAAATCTCCTAATTGGCTGAGGATGAAGAAAAAGGATCAATATTCAGTGACTTTTGTTTCATTAAACCAGGTTGGAGCCAAAGGTAGCGTGTCCTGTGTCTGAGAGCAACGGAAGGGAACACGCTTTATTCTTCGGACGTGACGGGAAATGGAAATGGCTTTTAGGAAAAGTGAGTGCTTCTAAAAGGGCTGGAGATGAAGCACAAGCTGTTGCTCTGCTGACTTCACCCTGCAGCACAGCAGCAGAAACCACCATAAGGGAAGTGGACTGAGTGACAGCACCCTTTTCATCTGCATGTGAAGAGCTGTTCTGTGCATCTAAATTTGTGTGTTCTTTTACTTCAACACATTTATTAAAAGTGAAATGCTGCCCATATGTTTTCTTAGAGTCAATGAAAATTGAAAGCATGGATCAGCGAGGCACATGAACAGGGAACGTGTGGCTAAATCCATCTTTTTCTTTTAGCTCAAACACTTTAGTATTCACTGCCTTGAGTGAGACGGATGAATGCATTTCAGGGCTCGAGTGTGGGAAATGAATGAAAAATTAAATAGCATCTGCCAAAGTGTTCTTGTGTCAGCGGCTGTTTCTGCGTTTTGGCGGGTGCTCTGCAGTGGAGCAGCTAACTGGAATGATCAGGAGCAGGGCTAACCAAACAGCAGAATGGCATGTTGGCCGGGCTCGTCTTACCACAGTCACCACCTCCAGGTCCTTTAGATACGTCCTCTCTGTGGTCAGCAGCTCTTTGGCGATGAAGTACGCTCTATCTGTTGGAAATCTCTGCAAATGCACCAAATCAGCAGTTTGTAACTGCATAGACTGACAGTTGTTTTAAAAAAAGACTGTCAAATCCAGGTGACAAACCTTCCTGCGGACTTCATCCTCATCGTCTGTGCGCACACTGCAGGCGTCGTTGAGCAAGGGGCTGGTGAGGGGGGAGGGTTGTCGGCAATTTGGACTGTGACTGCCCAGCTCCAGAGACTTCTGACCATTCACCATCCCGTGTGAGTGTCCAGAAGAGGCAGGCAGGTGAGGACTGCAGGAAACCTCACCTGCATTGGACATAGAAAAATGTTAGCTTGTGACATTCAAAATCAAACATCTCATCAAATGCAGTTTCTAAATCTCCTCACTTCAATTTTTGGAGGGATCTCCTAGAAAATAACCAGCAAATGAAATCAAGGAAAACTAATCAAATAAGAAGAATTTCTTTTGTTCAATATGGATTACAATATTGTCATCAATCACCTTGGTTTAAATAGATCTTTGGGATATTAAAAACCTCAAACTTTAGAAAAGAAAAAGACATTTTCAGCTTTCTGACATTCCAAGCTGAAACATTTAGTCAATCTATCGATTAATGAAACGACTAAGTGCTTGCAGACACACAGGGAAGCCCAATTCGATCGTGACATTTTGGTGCTAATGAAACTTTCCAGTTCAATTTATAACACCAACTATGACCAGCAATCCACAATAAATCCACACTGAGGAGTAGCTATGGGGCGGAATGTGCCTGAGGAGCATAAGCCAGCCATGACTCTCTAAAGTCAAGTAAGCATTTCAATTAACACACAAGCTGAGGCACACACACTGCAGGATGATCAAGAGGAACAGCTCACTGAGGCATCTACACTCACAATGTTCACCCAGCTTACTTACTATTTTGAAGCTGCAACTTTCCCAACTCTGTCTGCCTTCTTCTTGTGTGTCAGCACAAATAAAACAATGATTACGGGAACACAAACCAGCCCAACGAGCGGCTGCAATCACATCAGCACACTACACTACATTTAGTCTAGAGGTTACTAAGGGATGAGAAAACACACATCTATAGGAAAGCTACAAATGGGCAAAGCATGAGCCATCAACACGGGCACTCATCTAGCAGCACAATGAAAATCTACACCGAACACCAAAGGGAAAGGCATTTCATCTACAGTGAGCGCTACACTCCAGAGCTGCCGATGTTGTAGAGAACAGGTTTGAGAAATATCACTTTGTTGTCTTTATTGATTTTAGAATGACATATATAAATATACATATGTACATGTTGGTAGGTGAACATATATTGAGAGAAAAGCAGCAGAAAAGGCATGAGAATGTCTAAAAGAAGACAGATTTAATGAGCAACAGAGGGAAAGTACAGAGAGAGGTGTGAACTCACATAATCTTCAAGGTCTTATCTAATATAAAAACAGCCCCAAGAATTTTTTTGGAACAAACAGCCTGCTGTTGAGATTCTGTCATCGCTGAGGTAATAACATAGTAAGTGATAGCGAATTAGTTTTATATGGAAATGCTACAAAGTAAGCTGTAAAAATACTGTAATATGTACACATATTTATTTTTCAATTAGTTTTTGGGGGGGAACTAGACTTGCCTTGAGATTACACTCTCCACTGTTGCTTCACACATCAATATGAAATGTCAGCGTAATGAGAGAGAGTGTCAAACGTACATCGGAACACACACATACAGCAGAGTGCATGCAGACAGCAGCCAGGACAGAACATCACGGTGTGTATCACACCCTGGTCTAGATTTAGCAGAGCATGCAGAAGAAATACACCCTGAAGGACACCAGTGGTTGAAAACACGCACAAACACACAAGTCTTTCCCATAAAACTGGGACTTTGAGTCAAAGGAATGAGTTTATCAAACCAAAACTAAGAGAATTTTGTGACAATCATTCCAGCTTTACGGGAGAGATGTGTGCACCAGAGAGGGCTTCCTGATGCTGCCATGATCCAGCAACTCTGCATCTATTACATTTCAGAGTGCAAAGGTATGCATGCTTCTAAGGCAAATATTCTCTTTGGATGTGCCTTTTGATGTCAGTCCTTAGAATTTCCATGAGCACTGCAAAAGCAGTCGGCTGTGATGGATGAGCATAGGGGCCCAACGCGATGAGGTGTTGCCCTTAAAGTGCCTTTTACAAGAACACGACACACACATGCACTGACACTAAAACTGGCTTCCATTTGGCTGCATATTCCCAAGCTCCTGTCATCCACACCCAGATCTTCTCTCAGTTTTCGAATAATTAAGGGTTGCCTGGATCATTGCAGAAAAGGAAACCCACAGACTGGTAATCTTACCCTCCCACCACCATCACTGCCACACAGTAAGTGACAGAACAAGTTAACACCAAGTCCCGGCTGGGACGAAAACAGACAAGATAAGACAGTTTCACGCTGACAGTGAAGTGCTGACACTGGATGAAGAGAAAAGAGAATACAAATGAAAAACAAAAATTTCCCAATTCCTGTCTTGAACAGATCAAACGGAAACAACATGAAGACAGACGTGCAAAAAAAGTGCATTGCCATTTTTGTTAATAAATGTGGAAACTATGGGGACGGCACAGCCAACGAAGGTCTTAGTGATACCAAGTTTATGAAACAGCAGATGGATAGATTTAAATAATGAAACTGAAAACTAAAAAACTATCACTTCACCTTTGACCAAAACCAACGCAGACTTAACTCACTATGTGTCATTTCTTGGCTATTCCTAACACTTTTATTTGTGACCCGTTAACGGTGAGTTAATAGCTTACTTCAAGTTAGCAAAGGGTTCTGTAAACATAAATCCCACTTTGCTTTTTTGCAGATATGGTCAGCAACAAATACCTGAAACTTATATCCCACTAAGAGCATTGACAACACTACGAGACAAAAAGATGCCCAGAAAGTTTAATACTCAATGAATCAGACATCAACAGATGTCATAAGGCATCTAAGTAGTACAGACTTAACAGAGTTTTCAATAACTCTGCAGGTCTGCCACGTTAATTCAACCTCAAGTTTCAAACAGTCAGACTGAAACACATTTTCTTTAATATCTTTAGATTTATAATTAGAAACTATTTCAGAGTTGAGTCCTTTCAAGGCACGTCTGGTGTATGTCTGCCTGGACATATACAGTTAGCGTAGTTTGAGAAAACTAAGCAAAAAAGTCCCTCTATTGGGCCAAAAAATCCTGAAAAAGAATCCTTTCATGCATGTTTGAAAAGTGCTTTGGTAGTAAAGTTCTTTACAATACTAGAGTGTATTTTAGATCACTGGAACATCTGAACAGAGACCACCTCGTTCCCACTTTCTGGGATTAACTAACAGCTGAAAACTGGTCCCCCATCTTCATCAGTGAGGACATAGCACCCGTCCTCCTCAGCCTCCTCGTCTAGCTGGAGGCTGTCAAAGGAAAACTTGTTCCTTGGTATTTGGGAACTCGCCTCGACCGAATGATCAAAGATCAGTGGGCTGCTGCAGTTGCCTCTGTTCTCCACCTCAGACTCACTGGACTCTGAGCCGCTGGTGGTGCAGCCCTCGCTCATTTGAACTGCACCCACATGCCCCGTGCCGGCCTGTTTTAACCTTTTCTGCCCCAGACTGGCCCGGGACCTGCCTGGTGTGGAGAGGCCGTTGGCCATCATGCGGCGCTCGAGAGCCGCCATGCGTTCAGCCCGGGACAGGACGGGATGCGATTCCTGCCTCGGGGAGAATGCAACTCTATGCGGGTCTGTGTCAGAGTTGTGAGTAACTTTCTGTATTTTCTGTAAGCGAGGGGATTTGCTTGGAAGGGGGGTGCATCTACCTTCACTGAACGAAGGGATAGCATAGCCGTTCTGCTCTACGTGACTGAGAGAAGGTCCTTGATAGAGGGTGTTATTGACAGGGCTGATGACTGCACTCCTTGAATCCATCACATGTGGAACCGGGAGGGGGCTGCTGCACTGCCTCTCTCTATCAAGGTCACCGACTAAATCCATGGACCTACGGACAGGACTTGGGTCAATCCTTTGTCGTTCCTGCAAGAGAGATGGATCCAGCCCATGGCTAGGACTGGGTGATGCTCTAGAAGATGAAGGGATATTCCTATACTGCATCCTTCCAAGGAAAGGTTCCTGCTGGCTCCCAGAGCTAGACCCCCGGCGCTGGAGGGCCTCCTCTTGGAAACTGTAATTGGATCTACTAGCCTGGTCCCTGCACATGTTATAATCACCGCCTAAACTAACAGAGTTATTGTAAGGCATGGCAAAGCTGCTGCCTTTGGCAGCCCGGGAAGCTGGACCTGTGCTCAGATGCCCAGCATGGGTCTGTCGTGGTGAGCCTCTCGTCTCCTCTGTCCCGGAGGCAGACCCCGTTCTGTCTTCATGCCCATTCCTATGGTGGGAAGGGCTCAACCTCGTTATCCTGGAAGCCGATGGGTCCTCTGCAGTCACCAGCACAGATTCCTTCCAATGACGCCGTGGTGGAGAACTGAGTCTGTGGCCGGGAACACCACTCTGAGAGCAGCAGAAGAGAAAGAGAGAAAAATTAGATATGAACACTTTGTCAGTCTTTTAAATCGACTAAAAATAGAAATTTTAATTCAAACTGTTGCATAAAAGATTTATAATATAACACACCTCATCCTCTCTGTTGGCAGTTAGTCAAAATAATTTCAATAGATGCAACAAAAGGCATTAAAAAGCTAACTTTAGCAGATGTCAATTTGGATGCAAACTCGATCTGCAGACTGGTTAACGGAGACAGAGTCTAAAGGTGTCAACAATGGGTGAAAAGAGCTAAATAAGGCAGTATGATCTGTTTTTATCAGTATGTTTTCACAGACTATACATTCTCTCACAGCTGTGGATGACACATGCACAACAGTGTAATTTTTTTTAAATAAGAATCAATTTAAAAGCGTAGATACAAAAGCAATCACGAAAATACTGACTTCAGCTGTCACTTCATGGTGGCGTGGGGAAGGCAAAGGCGACAGGCGGCTGTTGAACTGGACTCGGCTGTGTTTCCTGGCAGACAGGATGTTGAAGGTCAGCGTCACACACTCTGAAAACCCTCGTCTTAAAACCAAACATGTGGATCGCGCACGAGCCTTTACCTTTCGAATGGGATCTTCTTAAACTCAGACTCCTTCACATAATCCATCACCTGCTTTTGTGTGCGACCACTGCAAAGGTGAGTAGAGGAGAGATGTTAATGATTAGGAGAGTAATGAGGGGAGTAAGGGACCGCGGTCCTGCCGGAGCGCAGCTCTACCTGAATCTGAAGGAGGAGCCTCGTGTGAAGAGCACAGGCTTGGGCTTGGGTTTGGGTTCCTCAAAGAGGCGGAAGAAGGCATGATACTCAACACAGATCTTCCAGAAGATTTTACAGCAATCCCTGCTGGCCATCAGAAACTCCAGAGTGTCCTGATATGAACTCTGGAGGAAAATGAAAATATGACCTCCAGCACAGAAGCGTTTCACACTCACTAACACCATGAATCAATGCCACTTACATTTAGGTCTGGTCTCAGCTTGATGAGGAAACGTTTTCGCTTAAAGCTCAGCTTTCGAATTTTAGACCAGTTGAAGGCATTTATTCTTGTGTGTGCCTGAGGTGAAACAAATGCAGTTAAGCTTCAATGAAAAATTAATTGCCCAGATTTAACCAACCAGTTGAGACTCTGTTGTTTACATGCTTGGATTTGTCTGGTTTGTGACCTGTGAAACAGCATGACTGACCTGGAAGACCAGGACACCTGTGTGTGCCACGGCGAGATTTAACCTGGAGCCCTCCCGATCCTTGGCAGGGTGGAGCCGAATCCCATACATCTCCAGTTTCCGAGCCACTTCTAACAATTGATAATCTGATTCTGCTGGTGTTTGACCTCTGTAACACAGTTCACACCGGAACATTTAAAGATGTCCGTGTTGGAAAAAAACAAATAAAAAGGATCTAAAGAAATTTCCAATGACTGGCTGATCTTTTCCACAATGTTTTCGTTTTTTAGATGAACAAATCATTACCAGACTCATCATCCTCCTATTCGGCAGGCAAATTGAGGTGATGGACGGAAAGGGAGGTGAATCTGAGTTTCCCATGTTAATCTGAGCAGCAGCTGGAGGTCAGGGGGTTTCCGCAAACGTTAACTAACTTTCTTAATTCCTTATCGGTGGATAAGCCTTCCTGCTTCCTGTGTGTGGTGCTTAACAAGAGATTTAACTCGACATGGCACCCAGCCAGAGGAGATGGAGTTACTTTTATCAGTGGAGAAGCAGTGGAAAACGAGCAAGTCAAAGAGAGCAGTCAATTCTAGTGGGGCTCCTCGGAAGTTACAGCAGCTGCCCACTGTGCGCTTATGACGCTCTGGAAGACAGAGGGCAGACAAGTGTCGGCAAAGATTTGAATCAAATAAATTAAGCACTGACGGGAGAGGTTTGCTTAAAGGACACTGTCTGGTTGCTTTTTAAGTTGGTTTTGTTCTCCCAACTGCATTCTGCAAGAAAGATTCGAAAGAGCTAACGTGACATTAAAGAAACTTATATTAGTCACCTAAATGTGTTTTAACCAAACTAACCCACAGTCATGACAGCTGCATTTGCATTTGTCAGGTTACAGGAAGTTTTAAAATATCTATGTGGAACCAAACAGGTTTTTGTTGATAAGAGCAGAAGACAAACTGGTGTCGTTCTCTTTCACGGAAATTGTAAAACAGCTTCCAGAGATTGCCTTTTTTGAGTTGATACGTTTCAAAGAGCTGCAATGGCACCCTCGGCAGAACCCATTCATTCTATGGCCGCCTTCCTGAATGTGTCACCTGTGTAATAAAACATGCCGTTGGGACAATCACGAGATCTGCAACAACACTTCCTGTTCAGCAGAATAATCGGAGTTGAGGCATGCCCTCGCTGACCCTGTGAGGCATGCCCTCCCTGAGCGCTGCTCAGACTGAATCAGAGCTGTGTTTCATTTTAGGTTTTGCAGAATTTGTTTGATGCTGGGAAACTCACATATGCTTTGAGTGAAACTCCATGATTTTGTCAATCAGAGGCATCTGATCTGGGATGTAGTTATTGTTGAGAAGGTGCGACCGACAATGGCTTTCTTCAAAGTCTCCAATTTCAGCTGAAAAGTAAATAAAAAAAGGTTGGTTACAAAAAAAGGAATGGAAAAAGAACTACAATCCAAGGCTCTTTTCAAAGAATGACAAGTAGCTGTGTTTCAGCAACACACATAGAAAAAAATCACCCTTTGATCAATGCAGATTTTATAAAAAAAAAAAAAAATCCCCTGATGAAAATTTATGCTTGCTCTGAAGCAGCTCTGCGACATTACTTTTAGGGATCTGACTGAAAGGTCTCCATAGCAACGCAAAGATAATCAATTTGAAATGGAGCGCAGTGTTCTGTATGACAATGTTTGATGATAAGCTCAGCATGAAAAGGGAGTAATGCATTTTTAAAAAGACAGTTATCAGATATGTCAGCTAAACAAAAAGGCAGCTATGCCAGCCTTACACTGGATGATGTGGGAGACCATCAGAGCAGCGCTGCTGTCGTTGCAGGTCAGACGTCCACAGGAGAGATCCTGTTTGATCTGGAGGGCAAACAGGTACCTGGCAACATGCATGAACAACCATCACATTATACAACCGTCCAGATCAAGTGCTTGGATTTTCATCAATCGGGCATGCCAAAAAAAAAGGAAAAAAAAGCAGAAACCTGAAAATCAAAACCAAATACAGGTATGAAAAACTCTTAGAGGCCACAAACAAATGGTGCTTTTGATTGAAATACAACTTGTCTGTCAAAAGATTCGACATGAAAATGTTACGTCTGCAAAATGATTCAACAAACAACTTTTGTACAACTACTTTGCTTGAATTTAAGACGTCTGAAACAAAGACAGGGGGGTTGCTTTACATCAATAATTTCTCCACTCTCTAAAACAGAAACCAGAAAATCATTAGCGCCACCGCGCTAGTCTCCAGAGAACTAAATCAGAGAGGAGGCGGCGCTGACATTTTAATCGCAGAGCTGAGCAAGGAATGAATCTCGCGGGGAAACGGGGCACATGTTTCATTTATGCCTCTAAAATTGCTTCCAGTCGCAGCTGAGATACTTCATACTGACATGTATACAAATGCACGTCTCAGTGCCAAGTGGAAGACAAACATTGTGCAGAGTTGGATGATGTAGAGAGGAGCTCACCTTGTCAGCTCCTCCAGCAGCTGGGCATGGTCCGGGGGGAAAAACTTCACACTAAACCTCAGGATGGTATGTTTCGGACCTGTGCGGGACAGATACATGGAACAACCGCACTGTGAAGGGAGATTCTTGAAGAAGGAGGACTTTTACATTATTCAGCTGCTATTTTCAGCTGAATGAATGGTAAAAAAAAAAAAAATCTGGAGAAAAGATCACTTTCAAAAAGATGGAAGAGTATTTTTGAAACACTTACGTCTGAGCTGCTTGATAATGGGTTTGATATGGTCTAACCAAACCTGTGAGAGGAGAGCCTGTAATTAGCAAATTATACTCTAGCAATCTTGGCAATGTGTAAAACCAGCTGTATGCTGTCTAAATTTTCTCACCACCATCTTCTGGTGGTTCTGAAACTCCAAGCCGAAGTAGTCGCCCTCGATGAGATTCATGTGGGAGCACACCAGGTCAAAGAGCACCTTGCCCGAGGCTTTTTGCTGTAAACAAAAAGGAAGGAGAAAAAGTTTTTAGTCAAAAAATTTGAACCATTACCAGTATTTCAATCAGTCTTTGGTATTTCATCTGAAGCCACAAATGTGAGGACTACTCAGTGACCCAATGTGCCGTGACATAATAGAGCAGTGAGGCAACAGAGCTCTGCTTTGTCTACCTGTCAAACCCCATCAAAGAGAGATACTTCATTATCCTAATGAATTAGCATTTTTCACATCCAGAATTCCTCAACTAGCCTTCTTCCCATCCGGGGTTTCAAAGGTTCAGCCGACCACTAAGAAGCTCCCATCTTTCCTGCGGCAGCTCGAGAGGCGTAGACCTCGTCTTTGATCTGTGTTTTCGGTGTCATTGCTTTCTCACTGATGACAGCCTTGCAGCCTTTGAGGTGGATTCAAAATCGGGACGGGGTAAAGACTCCCACTGACCAGCCCTGTCCACGTTCCGCACACAGACACTTTGAAGAGTGACTTAACTCCCCCACTCACTGCCAAATACCGACTTCATGACAAACACACAGACCTCAGAAATCCACCATATCCTCTGAGAGAGAGCAATGTTCCACTGTAAGGTCAACCTAATGTCAGGGATTTCCACAGAAAGACTTCTGATTCAGGCACCCAAATAGGAAAGAACCCTCTCGAGCGCACAGCGGTAGACTTTCTGCCTGGCTGTTTCCTCATGACTGATTTGCACCGGTGCAGAACTTATCACAGCTGCAGAATATGAGCGTTTGTAGTAACCATTTCCCCCCGGCTTGGATAATGATCCAGAGCTGTGTCTGAGTACGTGTCAAGGAAACAGTTTGTCCTCTGCTTGTACAGAAGACGACAATGACTCGCTGAGGTGAATGCTACTACAAGAACTTTTTACATAAAGATAAAGGTTGATCTGCCTTTAAATTCTCCTGATCTATATTAGGGAAAGAACAGCCTGTTCCTATAAATACTTTTAAAGAAAAGGAACCCAGGCTCTTCCACCTTAGAGACAATGATTACATGTCCACAAGACAAGAAAACTAAATCTTCCTCAAACAGGCCCACCCACTGCTGGTTCCCATGTCTGTTCTTTCTCTGCAGCACTTCTCTCACTCTCCAGGTTGTTTTCATGTAGAGCAAAGGGCATCCCACCACTGAGGACCAGCTGCTTCCATATGGTGAAGAAGCTGATGAGGAAGGCCACGAGGAAGCTTGAGGGAAAGAGGCCGACGGCCTTCACACATCAACACACGTTACTTCCTGAAAGACGACCGAGGCAAGGAGGGAAATCAACCGCTCAGTGACTTCCACATCTAGTGTTTTTTGAATGAGAACGGGGGCCGTGCTACACATGGGCTCGTGTTACAGCAGAACGGCGGGCAGACCGAAGCCGGACACAGAGAAGGCTGCGGATTGCCTCTCTCTCTCACTGGAATGCCGTTATGTGAAGTCTTGTAAATCTGCTGTCAGGGGAGAAATGACCACGAGCCAAGAGGAGATGGGTAAGGCAGAGGCTGATTAAAGCTGCGCAGAGCTTGATTAAATGCAGCTTTTGCAGACTGTGTCAAGCTGAGTCAGTGCTGCCACGTGACACCGCTGCAGCCAGCGCCACCAGACCACTGAAGCTATGACACACAAGTCGCAAAAAGACGGGTGGCTCACGGCACCAGCCATCACAGGACAACTGATAGCACAGGGAAGTTTTTCCAGGTGCCTGTTTCAGTGAAATAAAGCATAAGAGCAACTTAACTTGCACAATTGAAACTGGAGAAACGGATCAGAACACTGGCCAAAAAAAAAAAGAAACACAGCCAAATGATGTAATCAACTCTTCTCTGTCAGCTTAGTAGGTACACGTGGCTTTTTATAGTTAAACGGGTTAGTGTAACTTTAAGAGAAGTTAGCATTAAACCTTATTGTTACTGTCGATTTTGAAGTTTCTGATGCCCTTAGAAAATACTGTTATAACCACAGACCTTCCAATGTTTATGTAAACATGCAAAACGGTATGATAAAATGTCGTACAGTTTGACAGAATCAAATAGTTGAACGGCTACAAATGACCCGAGGCTGAAATAAGGCTTACAAAAAAAGTGGTAAGACAGCAGAGGAACATGCATTTTCCACATAAAACTCCAATCCACCGGTGCTTTACCTGTGATGGCTGAACATTTCATTTCAAAACCGTGCACGCTGCCTCTGACTCTGGAACAACGTCATGCCTTGCTCTAATTTTCAGTGATGAGACCTGGCTCAGTGCTAGTGTAAGCAAACAATTGTTTGACAGGAAAAATAAGTATTTAGTGGTTTCATTAAGTATCAAAGCAGATAAAATAAAGTTATGATTGTATACTGACATTGAAGGCCTTGCTCAAACAACAAAACCTATAAAGAGAATGTTCACTGCCTAGGCCATTTCATCCCTGACACATCTGATTCCCTGTACTTTTTAAGCTATTAAACAAAAAATATTCATAAAGGTCCCAGAAAACTAAGCACAAAACCTTGAAATTAAAACAGCTCAATTACATTGAGATCTATTCAAATTAGATTTATATCAGTGCTATTTTTCCACCGATGTTCTAAAATGTCTCCTATAAAAAGGGCCTTAAGTGGGTTTACATAAGAGAAGCTTGTATTTTAGCTAAGGACTCATAATGCAAGCATATTGCATTTCTGTAATCCTTTCTTAATCTTATCGACACACATTTTATAAATATACCATGGAAAATAACAAGAGGAGGCGCTAAATGCAGATCTAGTCAAACTGAAAAATGACAAGATAAAAAAAACTGTGCTACATAAACATCATGTTTAGCACCAAAAAACATTCTAAATATCCTTAAGGATATTCAATGCGTCATATACTGAGAGGTTGATGCAGAACTATTCATCAAAGGAAATAGAGGGTGATATTCCTCATTTCATCTTTTCCACATACAAAACTGATGTTGTAATCATTATATAAAGTGCCACATATTTTACTTATGAAATGAGTCCGGCATCCTAAGGCTGGACTGAACACCTCTGGCAGCCCTAAGAGGCATTCTGCTCTTAGGGATGCCTGAGCAGGGATTTTGGTTAATTTAGGTCACTGAAGCTGTAAATGCAGAATAGAACTCACTCTGCCAGTCTGACTTAACAGAGGCGTTCATTTCTACTTGAGTGCTCTTAAAGAACTTGGCTCCTTTGTTCATCTAGACTATAAAATAAACTAAGCCAATAAATTAATGAATGCACAGGGAAGAAGTCTTTCTGGAAACTAAGCGCATTTGCTTATACTGGAAAATGTTAAGTATGAATCACATAAAGATGGCTTGGAAGCCCTTCCTACTGACACACATTTAACACAACCCTCTCCATCCGTGTCGTGCAACCTCTGCTCCGGCAGAAAAGGTTACATTGAGGGGAAAAAAAAACATCATGCTCAGCAGATGACATTTCTTTCATCATCTGCAATGCCAAGAAAATGTCACCAATCTCCATTTTTATGACCTCTATCTATAAAAGCACCAACACTTGTTTTCATTGCGGTCGTCAATTCCAGGGTGAGATTGTGCATCTTGAATCAGCAGTTCTTAGTCAAACATGCATGGAGAATCCGTCCGACCACATTACATCGGAAAACAAAGGTTCTACTAATGTTCACAAGCGCATGCGCTCGTCGGTGCGCTGACCTCCACATGCTCAGGCTGACAGAAGCAGGTTAAATAAAGATGACAGCAATGTCTGCACGCGTCTGCTTGGGTTTCCCATAAATAGGGTAGACCAAGGAACGCCCCACCCACCCCCTTACCTACTCTTGTTAGTAAGCTTGTGTCAGCCTGAAAAAAAAAAAAATCCAACCATAAAGGTCAGGTGTAAAGTGGCTTTGTGCTCCCCTAACAACTCCCCCTCCAGGTCATGTTGGTATGCTCTGCTTCACCCACAATACGCCAGTCCAGTTACTACACGCCAAACTTCTACTGGAGGATGTTCAGGAGGTTGGGAGGGGGGGGGGGGGTGCCATGGGTGGCAAACAGACTGCCAGTGCCCTAAGGGTGCAGATAGAAAGGAAGAACAAAGGGAATGGTGTCGAGCTGAATATTTTGGGAGTGGTGCACCGAAGGAGCTGACGCCTGCATAAGAGCCGGCTCATCGCGGGAGAGGGAATTAACGGCTCGTTTAATTATTTTTTAGTACCTCGGACCATGCTGCTGCTGTAGCACCAGTCATAACTGTCATCACTGGTCTGATAATGGAGCGGTTTGGTCCCAGCAGGATAGCTCTGCAGTGACTGAAATCAGAGAGGACTGTTTGACTGTTTGATGAAAGAATGGAATGAGCAAATGAAAAATGAGGAAATGGTTATTATCTGGGAGGCAAACTATCTCCTGGGCGTTTCTGATGAGGCAGCCAATTGTTTTAATGATATATCAAGTGATGACAAAATATTCCTGACAAAATGTTGTTTGATGACAAAAAAAATAACTAAATAGAGAACATGATCTCACCATTCAAGTGGAAACCCCAGCAGCAGTTTGGGATACTTTTCAGTGAACTGTGGTTTTTATGAAGCCGCTGCACAGTGCAGGCCTGAGATCACTGAGCTTTTCACAGGAGCAGGCAGACACATTCCCACACTTCATCCTCCTTGTGCTGTTATTAAAAACATATGTGAGGAGCCCACTGGCTGTAGTCCCTCTGGATTCTGTCACTGTAAAGTAAACAGCTATTCCATACAGCCAGCAGCACATGTGGGTTTGTTTGCATGTGGCGTGCATGCCTGAGCAGGTACAGTATGTGCAGTGTAAGGGAAGGACAGGGCAAGGAGGTCAGCAGCAGCTAAAGCTCATTGAGATTCAGGTCACGCGCGACAGAGCTTCCCAGGGCGACTACACCGTGAAGCTGAGAGAGAGACAAGGGGAGGGAGACAAGCCTGTGGATAGCTCTGTCAACTTACCTACATGTGCGCCCATTAAGGAGCATATCAGTGAAGCTGAATATGAGCATAAAACTAAGCCAATGAACATCTAATGGAGCAAAAAAAATAGATAAATAATTTAAGTAATGAAGCAGCTCCTGTTTCTTTTTCTTTTTATTCCCAAACTACTATGGCAAAAGGGAAAACTATGCCAAAAAATGAAAGAAAGAGCGATAATACGGCTGCCACGGCTGTCAAGAGTCATTATGTCACAGACGGCCAGCCTCCAGGCGTGAGAGGACAACCATGAAAATAGTGTCCTCTGGATTCTTTGGAGCGACCACATCCTCCTCCTCATTCTTCTCCTCCTCCTCCTCCTCTCCCACCTCCTCTCTTTGATACCCTCCCATGAGTTGAGGCTGCTGGAAACATATTGATTCTGCATGAAGAATAATTAAGTGTCCTGTTGTGCTGCTGAATATGTAACAGCGCAGAGCTGTGCGCGTTTGTGCAAAGACCTCCCACTGTTTGTCAGAGGAACATAAACCAGGACGCAGCCAGCAGTTGTGGGTGTGCATCGTTAATGGGAGCAGAAAACACGCAGCGCCACAGACTCGGGCGCTGCTACGAGCATGCCCCGCAAATGTTAAAACACCCCGCTATGTTGTTCACACACTGATGCAACACAGTACTCTGTCATGTCTTAGCCAGACGTTAAGCTAGCGTCAGTAGAATAACTGGAGGCCAGACGGGGTTCTGAGGCAGCTGGAATTACAAAAAAAACCAGCCTCTTTTATCCTCATCTGCCTAAATCTATTTCAAAGTGCATCAAACTCTGGACCCGCGCTGGTTATCCTCCACCAGTACCTCTTCCCAGAGCTGTGGATTACTGTCACTTAGAGGGAAGACGCTTCACTAGACATTAAGCACAAAACCCACATTTAGCTGAGCTAGTTAAAGGCAGATTTAAGGAATGGGTGGAAGAAACTGCATCCTTGTAAACAAACAAGCAAAAATAGAAAGAAGTGACACGAAAAGACATCAATTCCAGAACACTGACAATGAAATCAATACATCTGGCCACATTCCAGACTGAAAAATCAAGCTGATGCTTCTGGCTAAAAATCAGTCAATTGCAAAAGCTTTAAGAAGTGATGTCACATTGTTGTGACACTGTTGTCTGTTGTCAGGGGCCACAGAGTGGGGTCACCGGCCTTTGTTAATGTTACCACTCGATCAATTCGAGGATCTTTTTGCTGTTAGCTGTGGTGCTCATTTAAGTAATCTACAGGGTAAGAAAACTGGACAATATTGTTGTTGTAGGTAAAGAAAGACATTCGTTTTAAATGGTCTTAAACTCATCTTTGACACAAACTTACTGCTTGTCGTTAAGTCATGTGAGTATATTTAGATGATATATATCATCTAAAAAATGGGAGGGGAGGTTATCCCTCTGCCTCACAGACTCATTCCTCGATCAGTATTTGATACATTTCTTCTTTGGACCCAGTATTTTACGGCCCAATCCCCTCTCTTTCGAGCACAGATAATCCAAGTAGACGTGCAGTGTATGCACCAGCAGCATTGTGTTGCTTTGTGTGGTTCATGGCCCAACAATGCTCGACTCTGTCAAGCCCAACAGATGCATAGTTACACCGCCAGACTTTACAACAGACACAAAAATGTTTGTGGGATGGTATAAAAGATTCATGTAATCTCTTCAGGTAGTTTCGCGATTCGTGACAACCGAACAGTCAGTAGAGTTTTAGAAGTCCACAACACAGTCTAGTTATGGCATCAACAACACAGTATTGCATTGTAAGCATCGTGCTGTCAAGAATAGCAAAACGATATCAACACTTTGGATTATTCACTGTCTGACCATACTGTCTTAGCTCATTTGAAGAACATACTTACCAAACAAACACAAGCTAATGTACATCTTAAAGGAAGACGTGTGGCTTCCACAACTGCTTCATCCGTGAGCCGCTTTGTGTGCAAAGGTAATTACCACCACCTGCTGAATTAAGATACAGTGAGCTCTCTCATATGGGGGTCTGTAACTGTGCGCAGGCAATCAATAGGTCAATTAGGAGACTAATTAAGTGTAAGTGTGAGAGACAGCTTCCACTGGATCGGGTTAAGAAAAAGGCCTTTAAAGATGATCGCAAAACAAAAGCAAGTCAGAGTTATTTCCCAGTGATGTGGCTCCAGTTGCATAATAATGCTTTGATGTTGAAGTCAGATGGTCATATTCTTCAACGAACCAGAGAGCAGTCTACAGGAGTTTTTTAAGTTAAACACAATTTATGGTATTGGTTATAACAGTGTGAAATCCATGGAGCTCTGGAGAATCTGAAGTCTTATACATACTGTAGCTCTGAGTTCACAGAATATGAATTTGAATTAATACAAGACTTAATATCAGTGTTTTACCATTTGAATATGATATTTCAAATTAGTTTTTCTTTTAACTGATACATCTGCGTGTTACAAAAAAAAATCATAGCAAGCACATTGATCGTCCAGAACCAGTTTGTCAGTTTTTATACTTTACACTAATTATATCTTACATTTAGATCAAAGTCAGTTTTTGCAGCGTGCCAGACTGGAGTGAAATGTGATTAAAGCTGATGATTTTTAGAGATACAAGCATATCCAAAAGCCTGAAATCAATCCCAGCCAATGCATTATTTGAATTAATGAAGGGGAAAAAAAAGAAATTTCAGAATACGATGCAGGCATGCAAACAAGGAAAACAAACAAGAAAAGACTTCCAAAATAGTTCTGAAGCCTCATCGGCAAACCCCGAAAAAAGTCACAATTGATAAATGACCTTCCAAAGTCTGACTTGTGAAACGGTTTGCAAAAATCTATGCGCTTAGAATTAGGGACATTGAATACACGTTTGCAAAAACTGTCTTAAAGTGAATATTTTTTTAAACATGCTTCCAAACTGCACAGGTCCAAAACACATGGGATGCGTTATTGTGGTAAAGTTATAGTCAAGGCACATTAATGATCTAAATATAAATGTTCAACCCCAGCTGGAAGAAAAACCAGCGAGCAAATATTGGAGCAGACACATTGATCTACATAATCACTGCACTGTCGGCTTGCATCCTGAGAGTGAGTGTGCTGGAGAGATCAAAAGAAACACAGCAAAGTAATACTGTGGAAGTCTTCTAAACTTTTAAGTCTAATCAAAATCACATTTATTCTGCGGCTCCTGGTGCGGAGGAAAATGCACAGCCAAGGTCATTAATTATTCAAAGATAATCTAATGCAAAGGCAGCAACATCAACCAAGTGAAAAACCTAAAGGGCTGAACTGGGATGTTTAGTTGCTGTGGAGGTCTGATGCTGACTTTGGGAATGAGGAGGACATACACAGCAAGGTCCACGAAAACAGAAAAAGCTGTTGTTAGTTCAACTTTAAAAGTGATTGCGGAAACATTTGTCATAAATATGAGAAATATTCATAAATAAAATAACATTGCATATAGGGAGGCTTAATTATAACACATCTTGTGGTCACGATGATAAAGTTGGACAGGTGTTTTTTTCCAGCACATGGTGCTCTTTGTGGTGCCAATAAGTGAAAGTAATGTCTGAACACTTCTTGAACTCAACTGTGATGCCCCAATAACCTGGATTCCCTGGTCCATGTGACCATTTTGCATTACAGCGGTTTTCAGTGTTTTAATCAATGCAGTATTTTTCACATCTAAATGATGATGCACTGTAAAAACAAACAAACAAAAAAACAAATTCTAACAAATCAGCATTTGTGCATTGACAAGGTAACAAATGTATGACAGGTACTGCTCTTTAGTAGGATATAGGGTCGGTTACCCTTATGCTGTATGAATGTCTTTTTCCTGTGCACAGTTCTTAATGATTTGGAATAGATAAGGTATAAAAAGCATAAAACATGAACGAAAAATACAGTGAGATGAAAAGCAGACACTAACAGCAGGAAGCCAACAACAGCTCCCTGCTGTATGCCATCATCACTACTTTCTGCTTCCCACCCCACATGCAAGCCCCTACAGAGTTCTAGGAGGGGGCCACACTTTGAGGTCGATGAGACTTGTGTTAGATTTAAGAAGCGAAAGTGTTGGTGCTGTGTGCTCCATCGCCCCTCCTTTACCCATAATCTCCACCAGTAATGAATAATGACAGCTGCACATGCTGCTCTGCTGTTGAGGCCAATCAATTGGCCCTCTGGAGATTAGACTTAAACTACTTAACCTTCAGTGCTGCAAATCCAGAGGCCTTCTACCCTGTGATGTAGTCAGGTGACTTTGATGGTGGAGGTTGTGGACGTTGTGATGCAACATCCCAAACTTTGCTAAACAGCAAAAAAAATCAGCAAAGCACAGCCTTTTGTGACTCTTTCTGTTATCTGGTGTAGAACTTCAGCACATGCAGCACTCATTACTTCCTAACCAATCATTAGACTTCAGTGGACTTCAATGGGCAATGGGTTCATTAGCACCAGATTCTCCGTCTCTGTAAAACTGTGAACTCTGTAAACTATTCAGACAGTTAATACAATCCCATAGCTAAGCTTTTTCAGGTATTTAAACTGAAGTTCTAAATATAATTCGGCCAGTCAGTCTGAATATAGCTGGCCTCAGAACACGCCGGTGTAAAGACAAAAGCCTCAGACCAAGCCTGCATATCCTGGAGAGAAGGATTAAGGTCAGCTGCCAAGGAATCACTCGGCTTGAAAATGTACTGATGTTGTAGTTTGTACAACCAGTGTTCAATAAAACTGCAGGCATCAGATCTGAGAAACAGAAAGAGAGTTAGAGAGAGAGAGAGAGAGAATGGCATTGATCAATTTCACCAAAACCCGAGTTATGGCAAATTTGTGTGAGTAAATAGTTTGATGTTGACTTTTGATTGAAATGATCATCTAAATGTGATCAAAATACTTTTGGGGGGACTCCACTATAACTCCACTATAGGAAAAAAGAAATTCTAAAGCTAACATTCTCAGTAAACCTTTCACCATTAACCTGTATGACATGGTGATGTCACGCAGCCCTACTGCTGTGTGACATCACCATTAGGTTTCCTTTTGCTTCCTGCTTCTGACCAAACAGGTGCAAATAGCCAGCTGATGATTCTAATTGGTCTGAACTCCTTTGCTTTAACGACCAGGAGCATGGAGAAGTTTTCTCATGATTATGACGAGTTTCATGGAAACACAGCACATCTGAAGCACTGGTGAAATTCCTATAATTCATTTGAGAGCTCCGAGTTCTCCTAAGAACGAAAATCTCGATGCAAATACTCAGATCTACTTTGATTTAGCATAAGGAGAAAGAAACGGCAACACTTCTGGTTACTCTCAGGGGAGGATCTTCAAAGCTCCTCTGTTCAAGTTAGCCAGAAACAGCATAGGAGAATTCAGCAGCTGCTAAATTAGTTCCACATGCAGCTAGTGGATACTAAAGCAACAAATGGAGTAATACGTCTTTAGTATCTACTTATCTGCGCAAAAAACTAAAACAACAAAAAACCTAAACTGGAATATCGGTAGGTCTAATGTGCTCAGTCAAATTTTTCCGACAAATCTCTTCCTTGCACATTTGATTGGAACAGATATGGCGAGCCCTGTGGGAACTTCTCCATGGCGAGCACTTTAGCACTCTGGATGTTGACAAATGCAGATGCTGTCCTGAGGTGAAGTCTCACATTTGAGTTTGTCATGGGACAAAATCTGGACAGAAGGCAGCCCAGCAGGAGCAGACACTCTCTCAGTGAATACAGCTGTTGTTGCATGCCTGCATGCCACTCGGTTCAGCAGAAATTTAAGACACTGGGGCCACAGAGGACCATTTCCTCCGACAGTTGATATACTCCAAACAATGCCATCCCTATGCACTTCATATCACTGATGATGTGCTGATATTTGAGGCCGTCACTTGCACTTTATAGTTAATCTGCCATACTGTTCAGGATTTTAAAGAATACCAAGAGTTTAAATCTTCTATTGTATAATATGCAGCCTCTCTTTTTTCCTCCTTTTTTTAGAGGCACAGCTTTGTAATTACTGTGACCATAACCAAGATTTTCAAAGATAAAATACATGAAACACCACACCCAGCTTGGCAATTAGCATGAAATGAAATGACTATTGCTATTGGTGTAAACTCACTCACAAACAAAAAAGTCTGGCTCGGGAAACAGACCCACTGAATGAATGTTTTAGAGTGTCGGAGTTTGAGAGTGAATTAACCCACTTTGACTAACTCAACAATTCACAAACAATGGATGAGAGGCTAACATGACTTTGTCTGTGACTAAGAGGGCTAAAAGACAAGCTGTGTTTAGTTTGTGGGTTTGAAATGCAGGCCTGGGGAGGCTAACGCTGGGTGAAAGCAGGCTTTACAGTCTCACAGTTTTTAACCAGGATAGATCTCCATGGCAACATCATGTATGCAGCACAGCTACTCTGCTCTGGAGCAGCTCAAATGTGTAAAGAATAATTTTGCTGGGCAACCACTTTGGAGAAATTATTAATCTATGGAAAATAAAAGCATAAAAAATGCCTCCCCATACTCGCCAGTGAACAGAGCCAAAGTGGAAATGGACCTAAGCTTGTGGGGCGTAAAGATGATGATGTTTAACATTTGACGGATGGCATGACAGAAGAGATTAAATAAGCAGAAATGAGATTAGCTTTGATAATCAATACAACAACGTCTTCTTTTACCTCTCCAGGCCAAAAGATGCAACAGTGAAAATAAAAAAAAGGAAAAAATATTTCAAATAGGTGAAAACAGTTTACAACCAATCAAAAAAGATTGTGTTTTTTACATTTCTTGTAAGACAAATCACAACAACAGAAACTCTGAACGCATGTCCCACTAAACCCGGGTGACTATCTGTGGCTGGCAGATTCAAGTCTTTAAGGTTTGACTACAAAGTCACATCAAAACAGTAAAAAAAAGCTTCTGGTGCTCAACGACTGCTGCATTCCTCTCAGAATTGCTGTCTGCCCTGCCATCCCTTCAAAAGACAGTCTCAGTCAACACTTTTCTCAATGGTGGAGCAAGCTACCAAATTCTAGTTTTCTGTTTGATGAATCTTTTATAGACATAGCTCCTCGGAAAACACCTCCAGTCTTTAAACCTTCAAACACATCCTCTTGCTTTCCTGTATGTGGTCTACTTACACTCTGTAAATGGAAGGTAGTGATTTAGAATATCATGTATAGACCAGAATTTCCTGCTCCACTAATGGATAAACTGTGTTGTTTGAGTAAAGAAAAAGCAGCTGCGAAAAGGAATAAATGTTCCTGTAAACGAGAAGGAATCCAGAAGAAAAGACTCCAGAGGAAAATCTAATTTGTGTGTGGTCCGATTGAATTATTGGTCTCATGTACACATACCTGCTTACACAAGTATACATCACTTAGCTTCTTTCTGATTTGTGTTAACCGATCTACAACTCAAGATCATGGAACAGAAGAAAGATTGCAAAACGGAAACAATGCTGAACATCTGCGCTGTAAACCATGATACTGGATACACAGAATCAACACTTTGTCTCATTTGCTAACAACAAGGAAACCCATGACTCACATTTAACTGAATGGTATAATCACTTTACTTACATCACAGTCATTCAAGTATCATTTCACTAACCACATATATCTATATTAAGCTAAATGGCTCCATGCTGCCTCCCTGCTTAAAGGAGTGAGTCTGAGTCTGAGTAAATGAGCATCCACTCTAGATTACTATGTAATGGTTCAAAATGAAATGACGCGAGTCCAAAAAAAAAAAAAAAACCCACAAGACCCGTGTCTCCAGCAGGAACATAAAAACAAGAAGATTAGCCAATAAATCTCCATCTCTGCTGCTCTTAAAGCGACCACGTGTCTAGAGTATAATGTATGCATCTAATCATTGATAATGCGAATGTCAAGAAATTCAATGTAATCCACTCAAACTCCAAGGTGAGATAGAGAATGCAAATTAATCACATAATATCTCTGCTCTTGACATCACACACCATCCTATTCGACTTCTGAGCCCTACAAGGATCCAAACATGAAGGATTCATTATGACTTTGACAACAGCCTGAATGAACTAGCTGTTCAGTGAGCCCTTGTCATGATAGACACTCTGAAGCAGCCATTTGCTGTTGTTGAGAAACACCAAAGAACATCCCAGAATAGACCAACCCCTGCTGATTGTCTGAAAACTCACGTTGCCACACACAAATCAATTGATATGTATTGCGGAGGATTCCCACATTGGCCACCGCTGAGCTTTGAATCTCCTAGCAAAATGGACCTCTGTTCCCCGTTTACTAATGGAGGCAGAAAGGCTACACAGCCCTTGATGCAACCTGGCAATTAAAAAGTTTCAACACAAAGTCTGAAAAAAGAAGCTGATTTGTATGGAAAATGTGTATTTGGCTTGATCGACTATTCTCAATGGTGAGTTATGCAGCACTCCCACTCAAACAATGAGGAGTCAGAGAACTCTGAACTGCCAAATGAGCACACGTTCTGTGCAACAGCTGAGGGTACTGATTTGAGATTAGTCTCTCCTCACCTTTCTCTTGCCCTTTCCTTCTCTCACACACACCCCGACCCCCTCTTCCTCAATCTCTGCTGCTTCACTCACAAGGCTCTCCGTCCCACATATCTCCGTCCTCTGCCCAAGAGACCCCAAATTCAATTACTGTCAGGGAGCAGCTGGAGGCACACTAGGCCGCACAGGTGCAGCTTAAAGGAATTCAACATGTCAAAAAAATGCATCCCAGTGCAAACATGGCCAAGCATTAACACTGAATGATTACAGAGCAGAGGGGGGAAAAATCAGCTATTTTTATTTCAATTTGACATCAAAATTAGACACGAGATGAGTCCTTAACCCGCAAGGCACCGCACGAGAGTGGAGCACTAAAGGTGCAGCCAGGGCATCCGTAATAACGTAAGGCGCTGCAGGATAAGGGTAATCCCCTGATATCACACCGCTAGCTGCTTCTGACATGTTAATTAGCCCTCCAATCTCAATGAAATTCATAATTCATTGAAGAAGGACGACGCTGCTGTGAAGAAGCAAAGGCTAACCAGCTCCCCCCCCGAGGGTTTTACCCTATATGGGATCAGGGGGACATCAAAGAAGAGTGCAGGCTGTTCCCATCATGTACTCTGTTGCCTACCTGCCCTGCAAAGACGGCTCTAGTCAGTGTGACTTAGCACCGTGGGTCAAGAGGTAAATTAAAGGGTCAGAAAACTGCCATTGCACAGCAGTGATCACTTAAAAGCTGAAAATATATGGACTTAAAAACATCAAAGTAAAAAGAAACTGTCACTAAACACAAGATGGTTCAAATCATGTTTGATCCGATTCACTGGAGAAAAAAAAAAAACGGGCTAATGGGCATATTGGCAGTTGGAGTCAACTCCACCGCTGTCTGAGCCAAACAAACCCATGAACCTTCAACAAAGACACATCCATCTTGGTTACCATGGGAACAAGGCTTATTATAAAGGCATCAGTTTTCCCAAAGCACCTGTGCACGTATAGAAAGCGGCGCTGCATAATGCCAGACGTGAGCTGCCAGCAGCAGTGACAGCGTTCATCAGCGGCTCTGTGCTGTTTCAGTCGGTTCCTCCAGGACCGGTGAATAATACAGGTGAACATTCCAGTGTCACAGCAGGTGCCACTTTGATCGGCACCTATTTCTGTCAGATGCCACACGTCTATTTCCACCACCAAGCAAAACATCCAAAAACAAAATTGTATCCAAATGATGAATAGAGCAATGAATATAACAAGAGATTTTCAATAAAACGTCATATTTAAGGTATGCTTTTCCATTGAAAAACTGTCTAATCAACCAGTTACTGGGACTCTGTGCACATTTCTGACACATTGACATCTAATTTTAGCAAGAAAAAGCTGTCGTTCTTCAAAGTGTGGCTATCAACTTCATTCTTAGCCAATGACTCCTTCAATCATAGGCGCTCAGGTAAATACGTCACTGGTGCCTCAGTGACCTCTTCAGCAGCCTGAGCTCTGGTGGACCGGTGGCTGCTTAGGTTAATCCACAAACAGGAGCGTGACGTGGGTTGTTTAAGTTTAGGTGTGGCGTTTTTACCTTCTCACAAAAGAATTTCATTATGAATACATTACAACTAAGTCCATCCCAAAATTTTTAATAAAAGTGATTTCTCTTTGATAACAGAAAAAAGCAACATGTATCATTAGCAATCATTTAAAAAGATAATTGAAAGTGATGCTCTTCTTCATTTGCCCTCACTGCCCAATTGCATTTCAGGATGTTAGGGAAGAAGATGGCTGTACATGGGAAACAACCCCCTCCACCCCCACCAACCTCCCGCTGGGGGATTTCAATTTCATGCCATGAGAGAAAGGCAACCAATAGTTCAGAGTTCATGTGAGGAACGTATGAGAATATTTTCAGCCAGCTAGAGCAAGAATGATGAAATTTATGTGAATGGCATGCCCACACCTCTATTCGCTTTTACTATTTTCCAGCTGAAATGTATGTCATCCTCCGCTGAAACAATTGAAAAGGTCTTTTTTCCCTATTAACTGCTCATATGACCTGTTCAAACCAAAACATTCTCTGTACACCAGCCCACAAATCTTCTATTTGTGTTTATGGTGACACTGAGCATCTGAATCCCCCCCAAATTGTCATCCAGAATTCCTGCCACCCCAAGCACAAAGCCATCTTTCAGGGAAACTAGGTCAAACAACAATGAAATGAAAACAAGCTAATAACGTCTCAAAACTCACTATGACTCATGTTTTAAGTCAAGGGATTTGAATACAAAAAAGGAACCTCCGTGCACAGCGTAGCATGCAGAGCGCCGTGTCTCCTAAATATGTTAGTCATAAGTGATGTGCAGCAGCATATCCCCGTGCTGGCACACTACGCTCACATTAATGCCCTGTGTGAAGCCCCCTCCACCCCCCTCCACTCTTTTCCGGCAGATATCAGTGGAAGACAGAAGTCTGCAGCACGCCAACCAGCTTAGACGCCCGTTATCCACTTCTGTGTGTAGCCATGGCAACCCACACATAGACCGGCATGCTTACGTGTGCCCTTTTAAATAAGAGCTCCTACGGCGTTTACATTTGTAGAGATGTCTGAGGAAAAAGTATCCAAGCTACCTCCTCAGAGGGTTTACACGCTGCAGCTCAAAGGTTCCAGCAATTGTCTTTTTCAGCAACAGAGGGAGGGATGATGAAGGACCTATAATTCCCCTCCATGGCCGTAGGTCATTTGAAGACAGCTGCATGTGTTTTGTGTGTGTATATAACGGCAGATTAGGAAATCAGCTTAAGCATAACCATAGAGATGTTAAGAGAAATAAGAAATGTTTCTACTTTAAGGCTCTAAAAAGTGAACAAATGTGACATGGTACCAGAAAAGACAGCAGTGACAAATAGCAGATGCCTGGATGTTTGGAGTTTCCAGTCGCCTCGCTTTATCAAGGCCTCTCCCTGATTGTCTCCCTCTGCCAGGCTAAAAACACTTTCTCTGGTGACATGGTAGATAAAAATCAGAGAGGCGCTATTTATCTGCTCCCTGCCTTTAACAATCCGTTCATTCACAACTCTGCAAAGACGAGCCTACTCCAAAGGATGAGCGAGATATCACCATGGTCACCATCTCCACGCATCTCTTATTTGCCTCATCAGAGACATACTGTATATAACCCTCAATATGTCCATGCTTATTAAAGGAAGGTCAAGTCAGGGAACAATTAATTATAATAGATGTAACCGTTAGTGGCGCATCACTCGTATTAGCAGAAGCAGAGTGAAGGTAATAGGTTTTGAAAACTCACTGGCATTGATGGAATAGGTAGCAGAGAGCTGCTTGCCAAGCTTGCTCTATGTCTGAATCTTCTAGCGTCCAATCAAATCCTATTTGCACAAGCATTCAGCCAATGACAGCTCATCAGGAAATATTCGAGCCAAATAATCCTCTGTGCCCAAATCATTCAGCCACCCCTGAGGCATCCCTGTGAGACTGAAGGAAGCAGACCTTGTCCCCACAACATTAACAGGATTTTACACGCTGCGTCTACACCACACTGCCTTCCTTCGCCCTGTGCTCTGCCTTCCTTTTATAACGTCTTTGAAAATACACAACATGAAACATGAGATCCTGAGAACCTTTGGTGGTATGTAAAGTACAAAAACCCTTGCGTGCTTGAATTTCAGATGAAAAAATCCTGACACAACGCTGAGGGTGGGATTCCGGGCGTATGGGCCAGGGACTATCACCAGTATCATCATCCTAAATGTGAATTAGGCTTCATTCCATTACATTCTGCCGTCATTTTTTTTCTTTACATCCAAACCTCCATTTGCATTCAGGCATTGATCCAACAGTGGCAGCTCCTCCACACCACTGATCAGTCAATCACCAAACAACCACAGGGAGGCTGTTGAAGACAGCTGAAAGAAAGCCTTCATCGTGTTTCTACTCATTAAGTGTCAGGACCTCATTGCCATTCAGCTGACAACAAGGCAAACTGGATCTGCCCTAATTGCTTCCTATTACAATGAACGGCTGACAGCATATGGGGAAGAGAATCGTGAGTGGTGGGATGACGGTGAGCTCTCTGGACTGAGGGAGAGTCTTACTCTAAATCATGCACGGCCCTCTGTGATACAGCCTCCCTTTTGCCTGGGTGGCCCCTGCCACCCTGCTTTCTCTGTGCACTTTTTGGTTGTAAACATGCATTATAGATAGGAATGTGATGAGAAGAAATATATAAATAACTCAAAGCAACAGATGTCTTCTCTGCATCTATAAATAGGTTATATATAGCCGACTACCTCCATTAGCAGGGACAAATCTAGTCAGTGTCAGATTCTTGGTGAGGTTTGCCTCCCGACTAAAAACAAAAACACACACACAAAAAAAAAATCAGGTTTCAGATTTTTTAATGAGCCCCTTCCTATCACACAGACCCTGTAGCTAAAAGCACTTAGGCAGTCAGCGACTGACACAACGGATGCTATGGAAGTTTAATGTGGAGCAATGCAGGATTTAAAATGTTCACCTGAACACAGCTAAAAAGGGCGCTGATTTATAACCTGAAGTGATGGAACAAAAGCTGAAGCCATGAGCATCAGCATCCCCCAAGTTGCAGCAGGGAAGCACCCTGAGTGCGACACTGATCATGCACAGCAGCTAACGGTTGGTGGTAAGACACAGCCGTTCCACCATCCACTCTAAGCAGCAGAAGCTGAGACACCCTGACATTTCTACCTTTTTAAGGCCACTCGCTTCAGCTGTTGCTAAAAGACCACAGGCCTTTAGGTCCACGCTGGGGGCTTCGACCAGTCGCTCCTGACCACTTATGGCAGGCATTCAGTGGACATCCTTATCAGCTGCCCGATAACTCGTCGTGCGACTATTTTCAGCACGGGGGGACAAAAGGTCTGCTCTGAGCTACTAACACTAACTTATTTCTTGATTTAAAAAAAAAAGCCCACACCCACAGGTCAGGGTGGAAAAGTTAACAGACAGCTGTATGATTTTGCTCATCCAAATGCTTTCAGATCCACACAGAACTGGTTGTGGGCAAGGAAAAGCCAACAGACCACACGTATGTTGGGATACACTATGGCGTGCTTTGCAAGGTGTCGGTTGATGTATATGAATATATGTTATCATTGGTTCTTTAATATTTGCATTGAAGTTATTTAAAGCGATAGTGGCTACAATGTCCTTTTATTGTTGTCTGTGCATGAATTTGATGCTACTTATGCCAGTAATCCCAAAAATATAGGATATGATGGTCTAGGGAGGCTTACTGTCGTGGAAAGATAACGTTTAAAAATAAAAAAGGGCCAAACGGTAAAGGAATCATCGCTCAGCACCTTTAAAGAGGTACAGCAGGACGGCTGTAACGGGTAAAGTGATGGATGGTGGGAACAGTCTCTAGTGACTCAGAGAGGAAAAGTAGTAGTGGTAATGCAACATGAGAAAGAAGCAGTGCCTGAATTTTTAATGATGAAAAACTGCATTGCTAAAATAAGCATTTCATTGGAGTAATTAGTGAGGGGTATGACACAATTTGAGGTTTTTAGCAGGCAGGTTTGGAGACTGCAGCCTGGCCGTGTCCTTCATTTGCAGGAGTGAGTATGACTCATCTTCGTCCCTCCCTCACTCAACCCATCCCCCTCTGTGTAACCCCTGATTCCGAGCTACAATCACACTCATCCCAGACAACTTCTGCTGCACTTCAACCAGCCATCAGCAAGACATCAGAGCAGACAGAGTCAGCGAACGCTAGCCTGAGGAGCACAGGGCAGACCGAGGGCAGCAGTCTGGATTTCCTGCTTCACTGAACCCTCCATCAGAAACACAATCAAAAGGAAATCAGTTTTAAATGGAAAATTATTCAACACAAACATTTGGAGAAAAAAAAGGTCTTGAACCACATTAGAATATGGACTTAAGTGACATTTATAGTCACTCGTGTCCGCCATTGGTGAATGTTTACCGTCAGACATCATCAGCATCAACTCAAATGTGTTCACAGCCAAAGTGTTAAGTAGGCCACAGCATGGTATGTGACCCAAGAGATGCCTCAATGGCCCCTTTTTGTTTCCCAACCATCTGATACCCTGCCCGCCGAGGTGGAAATTTACCCCACCTCACACAGAAGACTTGGAACTGAAGCCTGTCGTATCAGTAACAAAGAAAGGTTAGACGTTTTCTGCTTTCTTAAACAGAAAAAATGTCCATGATTAAACATCCCTTTTAGAACAACACTGGGTGTTCCTGCTGAGAAATGAAAGACTAGATAATTGCTTGAAAAACGAGTTTTGTTGACAATGCAGTGATCTTGGTTCACACTGGCAAGTGAAAGAAGCAGCATGCGAGCCAAGTTTAAATCTGTCCTCTAAATTTACGCTCACTACCGAAAAACAAAAAAAAACTTCTTTGAATTAGATTTAGTTAATGCTTACAGTGAATAAAAACCCTACAAGAGCCAACCAAGTTCCAGTGAGTAGCTCACCCATTCATTCTACTCAGCTTTGGCCTAATATTCCATATATCCAAACATAAAAAAGAAAAGGATAGATCAATTTTCATCACCTACACCTGCGGTATAATACCCAGCATCTCATTTGTCTTTAGAAGCTAAAAGGAAGTGGCATTGAACTTGAATTTTTCATTTTCTCTTTTAGAAGATGCTCTTAACCGCTCAAATGTGAAACAATGACTGAAAAAAGTATCCACTGACACCTCCAGGGAAAACAATATGAGCCTGCCGAGATTGTTATCTCAAGTGCTGACTTGAAACAGAGGACATAATGTGAATCAAATTGAGCATGAATAAAGCTTTATGTTAGCAGGGGCCTTTTGTTACCCTCTCCTGAGGTGCATCCTCAATCTGTTTCGACTAACTCAGTATGGGAAAAAATAAGGGACGGGGCGGGGGGGGGGGGGGGGGGTAATTCCCCAAAAGCCATCATTCAAAAACAGAGTAGTCATCATTTCACATCCTAGGGACAACCTACTGGGAAGCAAAAGTATGTATGCCTTACTTAAGATCTACAACGGCTGTTTGCACAGCTGCATCCAACCGGCAGAAGGTGGAAACGTGGAAAAAAAGATGTATGAGAAAAAAAACATCGTATGATAGAACATGTTTTATGCCAGATTATTAAAAGTGAAATTCCAGGACTGAAGGGAGTATGCTTTAGAGCAGCTGGAGCCATACACATAAAACTATATATATATATATATATATACACAAACATTTTCATGGCAAATATTGTGTGTTTACACAAAGTAAGACTGTGAAAAAATTTGAACCTGATTTCCACCACCATTTTTAAACACGAACACGTAAAGAACAGAAAGGTTTAATTATTATTTGGGGAAAATTCAGCATTGTGATAATAAAAAGAAAGTAAAATCAAATGAAGCCATTATCTCTGTAAGTTGAGTGGAATAATGGCTCTGCCAGAGATATAACACGGACACACATCAGCAGTTATTCATAGCACCACATTAGATTGAGAGTAAATCATGAAAGTTTACATTGAGATCAAAACGACTCTAATTCAGGGTGAGTTCAGTGAATATTTTTCCGTGTCAAATTGCGTGGCCTTCCTACCCCCCCATTTCCACTTCACATCAGGTATTCATTCCCACAACAGGGCATTGTAAAATTCATACGGTACAAAAAAACTGTGTATATATGTTTTTGATTCGTGTGCAGTTTGCAAATTCTCCCCACATATTCTGTGGCAGGAAAAGCCACCCTCATGCAGCTTACAAGCTCAGAGCAGGATGAATCAAACCCTTCCCTTAATTGCTCTGAGCAAGTAAAAGGCTGAAAAGAATTTAGTCCTTTGACATGAAAAGAAGTGCTTCAGTGTGTCATCCGACCCGAAGCAAATACAAAAAAATAATAGCTCAAATAAAAACTTTCAATCGGGATTCCCTGTGAGAATTTAGAGTGTTATGTACAGCGCAAGTTGCAACTGGAGAGATTAGCAGGCTTCAGCCTTGCTGTAGGGGCAGCTAGAGAACCTTGGGGAAAAGGCAGAAGCACGCTTCCATCCTGCACGGCACGGTGCCGCACGGTAGTTTTAGCATTCAGACAAATTAAACAGCTCCCCTGTGACTGCCGCTCTATCTGCGTGCCTCTATCTCCGCTTTCCACGCTTCTCAATCTGTTCATCTCATTCTGGTCGGGGCAGTGGCGCTTGTCGTCCAAATGTGTTGCTTCTTCTCCTGCTTTATGCTCCATGATGAACAGTCTTTTCACCTTCACTATCTCCTGTTTCTGCAGTTCGCTGAAAGTCTGAGAACATTTTCCCACATATTTCAGAGAAATACAGCAGGAGGCGGTCCAACCTATTAAGAATATGAATGGTGCTCCAAAATATATTCTTTTTACAGAATTTCTATGGATTTATGTCAGCAAGACAGTGTAAATGAAGAGAATCTTAATGTAAATGTTCATATTAATTAAGCCAGGCCAATAGAAGCATTATGTTTGCTTTCGGTTCCCAAGTTCCAGTCTGTAGTTTGTAAATGTGACATGAGTTATACTGAAACCGTAATGAGTGCATTAAACAGCTCCTGCACATGCAGTAGCCAATTTTAGGTCTAATCTTGCTAAAACTAGCTCAGACCACAGGTTCTAAATTTAGATCACTGTGATGAGAAAGTTAATCCTTTAAAACCGGAAAACCATGAATGGACAACCAACAGTTTTGCTTCTTTTGTGTAATGTTCCTCATTTTTTGTAAGAAACCACCAGGACTTCTCACACCTCATCAGAAATAACATTTTTTTAATCCACCATTGTAGGAGAGCACAGTAAAACCTCACATATTGTTTGTGTTTTTTTAAATCAGCAATAATGCAGATTTCAGAGAGTCTTGAGGATAAAGGAAGCCGCTAAGAGACATTAACTCGCACCATAACATTGTGGAAGAATACCGACATTACTAAAAGGATTTCACCAATTTCATCCAAGCATGCTACATTCAGTTGCCATGCCAACCTGTTACCAGACCGCTGCTGCTGTGATGAAAACTGAAAATGCTTCTTGGCCCTACTGTGGTAATAAAGACTCTCATTCCTGCCATCAAGAAAAGGTAACTGGGAACGACTGCGACTCACCGAGACGTCGAAGAGCTCCTCAGTATCGTCCAGCATGCGGACCCTTACGGTGATGTGTCGCCCTGGCGGCATGGCCGGGGGCCTGAGTCCGGGATCCAGAGTGCTGATCCCAACAGTGTCCGGGGCTCCGAGGCGCTGCCCCGCTCCAGAGGGCATGGGTTCCGGGTCTGGCTCTGCCATGGTGCTCTGTTCTGCTCACCGCCCAGCCTGCGCCCAACCACACACACAGAAACATGTCACAGAGCGCCATCACTGAACTTATTAAAGCTGTCCCAAGAAGCTCGACGTCTTTTTGTTTAAAGTATGAATGGTAGAAGTGGGGAAAAAAAGATTGCGCTCGGGCCCAGAGGACAGGCGGAGCAAGTCTGTCATAGTAACAGAGTAATTGCAAATGCAGTATTTGCACTCAGCACTAATGGCTGATAATTATTGCCTGTAGGAGACTCAATTAGTTTTTTTAAAAAGAGGAAGGGAAAAAAAATCCAAGCCAGTTTTTGATTTCGACACATAAATCAGGCAGTCATAATTTTATTCGACAAATGAACCAGAAGGCTGCAGTGTAAAAATCAAAGGGGACCACGTGAAGACAATTGATTTTGAAGTCATAAATGCCAGGCATTATAGTTAAAGACAGACACATACTATACTATGGATTTGATAGGTCTCAAGTGCAGCAGGCTAGACATGTAAAGAGGCTGGAAGAGATGTGAACTGAATGAGTCATGAGATGGGATCAACGACAATGGCAACCACAGTTTCGGGAGAAACAAATTACCAGTACAATGACATTGCAACAGTATTTTTTAGACAGCTCCATACTAGCAAAACAGAAACCAACTAAAACTAAATCAGCTAAAATATAGATCCAATACTGCACACAGGGGTTTCATTCAATAAAGAAACAATTAATGAAGTCAAGTTCAATTTACTTGTAAAGAGGAATCACATTTCAGGTGTGCCTGCACTGGGGTTCAGTGGTTGTTTTTATGAGTGTCAAGGCTCAACCAAATCACTGTTCAGTTACGTCATCTGAGCCATTCAACGTTCAGCTCCTGCACAGATGGATTGAGGAAGTCTTTCAGGCATCAATGCAGTCAGGCTAATGCTAAAAACCTGTATGGCTGCCGGTAGTATAAGCTTTATTTAATACTTCAGAGATGAGCTTCGATACATTTCACAGACTGGTATTGGACTAAGATTTGACTCAACAGAATGAGGTAACATTTGAAAAAAATTCATTGAATAAAAGGTATGTTTGTTAACTTTCTTTTGCTCAGCTCTGTTTAAACAGCAGTAGATAAATAGTTGCTAAAACTATTTCATGAATCCCACTCAATAGATAAGGTCCAAAAGCCATGGCACAAGGAAGTTTGATAAATGGACTTTTCATACAGTAAAAACATGTGCAGAGTCTGTGTCCTTTATCAGGTGGCAGGCTGGGTTTTATATTAACAGGTCACCAACCAACCCAAAATCTGCTTTCAGTGCCAGAGTCATCGCACATTTCAGCTGGCTGACGTCCTCCTGAGACCTCACCGACTGGTGGATCAGAGTGGTGTGTCCAGCGGGCAATTGTTCAGCCGCCACAAAGGTGAACGACTGCTGCCAAGTTAGGGCTGCAGCTGAATAAGGCATTTCAAAGGAGTGCGTAGCATAATCATGTAGAGTACGTGGAAAATAGGCCAAGGACAACGAATACACTAAATCTTGCCCAACAATTGCCTGCCTGACATTCAACAGTGGCATATAAAAGAGTTCAAGAGCAGCTACTAAAATGAGAAAGATAAATAAATAAAATCAACCAAAAATCCAACATTATATGCAGATATTTTCATGTTTCTTCTTTTTTTCATCTTAAATCTTCTGTGTTTTCCCTAAGATGGTTTAGTATTTTTTACAGTATGGAGGACTGATTGCCAAACTAAGTTTTTATTTAGTCTTTTCTTTAATCATAATGTTCATGTGTTTTTTTTCTCAAACACAAACAGTCTTCATGCAACTCAATAGGAAATAGAAAGATTACACTCTTAAATAATGTAAAACCTATCAAACCAATTGTAAGAGCAGTTATTTTCCATGCCATGTTGTATCATTGGCACCTGACGGTTCGGCACCATTGCACTGGAGTGAGAGTAAATATTGGTGTTTCCCAGCTGGAGCGCAGACTTTTTCTCCCTGGACTTGATGGAATCCAGACCCAACACTGTCACCGAGGGTGCGAATGGAAAAAAAGAAAAGAAAACGTGTATTCTTCCAATCCAAACCTGGTCGTTCACCACATTTGGTCCTCCCCCTATCATCACTCAGTGGCTCTTGTCTTGACTATTGGCAACTGTCTCATGCCTGGTCCATAAATTCACGGCTTATATGACTTTCACATGCGTGCCACGTAACAAGAAACTCTTCAAACAAAGCAGCAGTGAGTCGCAGAGCAGACAGGGATGATTTCAGCCAGCACATGCCTGCCCTTGCACCATGTATCATGAACACACCAGCCATGAGTCCAGATCCATGTGCCGCTCTGAATGGGTCACTTGGAACTCATGCAAATACACAAAACGGTCAACAGTTGTGCAGATGGCACCTTGTTCCCAGGCCTGGAGAGTGACCTAAAGCCCAGATGTCCAGTAAACAATACCGGAGGGACTTTTACAGACTCCTGACTGTTTCTTAGGGGTAAACCAGCCTGCCTTTGAACTTGTTTGCTTGAAATTCCCCACATATGTGTAATGTGGAGCAGCGGCTGCAGGCCTGGGCTGTAACAGTGGCTCCACTGTGTGCAGGGGCCTCTTGCTAAAGTCCACCACTGCACAGCTGGAAACCTTTAGTGACAGCTGAATGCCCTGAGGCAGGGGCTGATAAAGCCAGCTTTCTACCTGAGAGAAGCTCCTTAACAACAACAAAAAAAAGCTCAATTTCCCCTGTTCTCTGCAACAGATAGTCATACTTGGGTGTGGCTGAGATTGCTGAAGTTACCTCTGAATCAATGGAAACGTGACATGTGTTTCAGTAAAAACCAAAAGGCAGCCAACTGGATGTGTGGACGGGTTAACCTTTGGTTTAAATGACTGCAGAAAAACGCTGTACTCCGGTGTTCTGGGGAGGTCTTCTCTGACTCATCGCGCAAGGTCTCCCCAAACACGAATGTGATGTGGGTTAATGGAGCAGGCTGCTGTAATCCTCGGGACATTACCAGACGCCACACTAGGTGTGACATTGGGGACTTACCTGGAAACGAAGTGGCAACAACTAGAACACGCAGGCTCCCCTGGCGAAAAATTCCGATCAATGAAAAAGTCAGAGTGATGCATGAATCACATTACAGGCTGGAAACCTGAGCGACTGCGGCGTCTGAAGATGTGTGCAACGCAAACCCGCACCGCAGCACACAGAGGACAGCCGCTCACTAACTGCCCGTAGAGGAGGAATTCCACGCAAGGGACAGTTGTCCCCCTTCCCGCAGGATCACCAAACAACATGGGAAATATACTCCCGAGACTTAACCATAATCCCCCTCAAACAAGTTGAATCACTTCCCTAAAGAGCAGGCTGAGGGAGGACTTGCGCTGCGCGGTTCTTACCCCTTCTCTCTCCTAATGCGGGCTCGTCCACACTAAAGTATTTTTTCCCGCAAAGCTGAAGGGAGATATTACATCCACGTCCGGACGCGCTGGGAAAATGGATCCTGGTTTAGTTTCTTTCTTTTTTTTTTTTTACATGCAGCTTGCACCGAGGAGGAGGCTTCCTGCGGTCGCCATGGCGGACGACTGAGTGAGAGAGCCGGGGAGAGCCGGGATTACACTGAGGCGAGCGCAGGATCGTCTCCCGGTGCCTTTAACTCAGACAATGAAGGAGGCGCAGCTCCTCTGCCTCAGCCCCCCGGACACCGAAGAGCCACAGCGCCATCTAGCGGCCGCGGCCGGACACAGCCACAGTTCAGAGGAGCGATTTTCTGCTGGTGACCCCTTTAAATGAAGCCATCTCTGACTGTAACCCAGCATCACACGCCGATCACAGGTTTAAACAGTATACAGGCTCACGTAAGAGGCTTTTAAAGATGGGACCAAAGGGCTGGACATTACAGAATGTGGTGAGAAGCATTTGCAAGGCAGGACTCGATGAGTAATGCCACTGAAAACCCTTTTTTTTTAACTTTAACAAGTTATGCACCTCCATCAACCACATGGCTGTTCTTACCCTTTAACATTCTGTTGTCTTCTAAAAAACAGTTGTTTTCCCCTTCAAATTTGTGATATGATCATTGACAGAATCTTCTGGCTCCAGTCTTTTTTAGGATCAACACTGGTCACCTTTTCCGAGATTGTGAGACTCCAGATATAAACCAGTTGTGGAAAGAAAGAGCAGCGACATACCAAACACATGCCTTCATTGACTGAGTCAGATCCTCTTTTATTTATATTTGGGGGTGCGATGGGGGTTATCCGGCGCACTCCCCTGGCCTTTTGTATTGTGTACATGGTCTGTTCACTGAAGTTTAATAAAGTCACATGCTTCAATTCATTTCCCAGTCACACTGATTGATACAATTCCCAGATTCACAGTGCACACAGCACTGTATATAGTTTAACAAGGGTTCACTGCTTCTTGTTTTCTTCTAGAGCATGCTCAACTGTTTGTGCAAAAATGTAATACGGTGAGAGGCCCCCTGAGCCATAATTCAACCTTGTCTCCTATATAATGTCCTACTCCCACACACATATAACTGTCACACACATCATTACAATGTTTCACAGTCACTGCTAAACCCGTATACGGATACAATTTATACAACTTGGTCTCACATATGGTATCATACTCTGTCACAGTCCAGCATCATATTCTCTCCCATACACCTCTAAAGTCATGTGCCTGCTATTCTTGGATATGGCTGCAGTGTAGATGACTGTATGTAAATTTAGTGTCACATTCGGCCGGACTATAGAATTAAGCCAAACTCTTTTTTGGTGATTTTGAATGACACAAGGCCCCTCGTGTTATCTATGAGACTGCCCTTTTGTCCCTTTAACTCCAGGTTAGTATTTTGTGATGAAAATGTGAAACAAGCATGGCAAGCACAAGTTATTTCTAGCCCACAGTGGGATTTTCTTTCATAATACAAAGCCCATTGTGTCCTAAGTTACTGCAGACTGGCATATCTTACAGCCTTTCAGAGGGACAGG